ACCTCTTGGCACTCCAATGGGGCACAGAAATATTGAGAATGATCTATTTCCTGGTTTCTGTTGATGAGGAAGGGGGAAAAAGCAGATGACACAAATTTTGCTTGGTCTTTACTCACATGCTACTGCTCCCCTGAACTGTGCTTTGTTTCTGTTAAAAATGTTCCAACCCCCTTCTGTTCTGAAAAGCCAAATGAGCTGCACCAAGTCCACAGGGATGGAGGCTTCCAAGCAGAGTGGATGGCAAGGATTTAGACTCATTTTTTGAAGTTTGGGGTCCCACTCTAAAGAGACTGCGCAGATAAAGCTTTCCTAGAGAAGAAATGCCCCCAGTGCTGGGGTAGGAAGAATATCTGGGTTTTGTGTGCTTGCCAATGGGTGAGAGGGACTTGGGTAGGGATGTGACTTGGCACACCGTGTGCCCAGAGTGATGGCACGGGAGTCATTCCTGGGAAGGGAGAGTAAAGAACTCAGCGTGAGAGCTGATACTTCCTCCCCAGCTCTGAGAGAAAGGATTTGAGCTTGACAGGAAAAAATTGCATGGCAATGCTCACTATTTTCAGTACTTGACAGTTCTCATTGTTACCAAGAGTCCTGTTTCATGTGTTATATAAATATTTCAAATCAGGGTCCCTTAGATGAAGATATTAAGATGCCATCATTTCACAGCAGAATGTCATTGGTGACATGTAATTTTGAAATGTTCCAAACAGGTTTTCTTCTTTTTTGTATTTTGTTCTTGCTTTTCAGTATTCCTTAATCCTCCCTGATTCCTTCCACACTGCTGTCTTCCCATTCAGATTTCATGAAGAGGGTAGCAATGAAAATGCATATTAAAATGCTCTTGAAGTTTAAGTATTAAATGAAATAGTGCTTGAGTATTTTACTGTGGTTTTTTTTTTTCATGTTATTTACTACTCTTGTGGAGTTTGGTTGGTTTTTTTTTTCTTTTTTTGGTGCTTGAGGATAAATTTTTCATATACAAGGTAAAGAGAGAAAATAAATTCCCTGGCCATAGCAATGTTAAGGTAACAGATTCACTGTAGGGTCCCACTAGATGAAAATCTTGTAGTGAAAAGTAAACTGGTTCAGAGTAATTAATTTATCTTTTCATTTTCTATGAGTTTTGGATGGTGACAAACGGAATACTCATTTTTTTTCTTAAGTTACATATGTAATTAGAACAATTTCACACATTTTAGTTTTGGTTTTCAAGAAGCTGGGATTTTGTTGTGTAACTTGTGGCAGAGTGCAGCAGTTTCAGTTGGAAACCGGGCAGAAACACAAATGAAGTGTAGAGGTTTTGGTTCGTATTTCCTGGCCAATGCACCAAGGAATGTTGTGGGTCTAATGCTGCCCAAATGCAAGTACACCTACTAGAATTAATTACTCATTTTCTATTGCGAGGTCAGAACCAGGACGAGAGCAAAGCAAGCGCAGCATTACACCAGGAAATTACTCTTGCTACTTGAGTGTCCCTAAGAAGAACGAGAAGCTAAATGTCAGTGCCCAGGACCTGCAGCTCGCTGATTCCCGCTTGTACTATCGCTGAACACAAACTGCTGAGACCCTGGGCTTTTCCCATGATAGAGGAGCAGCCCGGAGCTGGGGCCCAGGCTCTGGCGACATCGAGCGCTGCCTCCGGGCCCGGGAGCGAACCCAGCCCGCTGTGCCCGGGGACCGAGGGGGCACCAGGGCTGAAACAGGCGGGGACTGAGCGGGGATACGGGCAGATCGAGGGCGAACCGAGGGGGCAACGAAGCCGATCGAAGGGGGACTGAGGCGCGCCCAGCGCCACCGCCCTGGCCCCCGGCGCTGCCCCGGCCCGGCCCATCCCTGCCCGGCCCCCGCTCGGTGCCGCGGTTGCCCGGTTACCGCAAACGCGGCCGCAGATCTGGGCCGCCCGTGCGATGCCTCAGTGCCCGGAGCCGGCTCTGGCTGCGCGTTCAAGCGGCGGCACTCGGCGACTTGCCAAGCGAACTGTTCGCACAACCGTGCTCTATGTGAGCGAGTGCTGTGAGATCCTCTCTTCAAAATGGCGTCTGGATTCCCGGGAAGAACACCAACACCTCGACTTTTGCTTAGGGAAGGACTGAAGCCTAATACTGTGAGTAGCTCCTGGGGCTGTGTTAAGGCTGGAAACTGCCCTGCTGTCCCTGCTCTCCCTGCCCCTGTTGTCCAGCAATGCTCTGAAGCTGCAGAGCCCCTCCCCAGCCCTTTGTGCCGTGCTCCTGTTGCTGGGGGCTGTCCTGGTGCAGTAGGGAACACTGTGGGATGTGTCAGGGACAGCCCAGCACCTTGCCTGGCTGTGCCAGCAGAGCCAAGTGAAACCAATGTACAGCTGAAGCCCTGAGCATGGGCTTCTTTCATTCCCCTTTGCCACAGCCATTCCTTCTGTCAGGCTGGGCACTCACCTGTGCTGCTCTGACCATCCTGCCCTTGGGCACCTGGGCATGTGAGGGGGAAAGCTCAAACTCTGCCCAAAGCCTTGAGAGCCACGGCTGGTCCCAGCTGGAAGAGCTCCCAAGACAGCTGTTCTCTCCCAGCTCCTGGGTGGGCACAGATGCAGCCCTGCAGGCAGCGCTGGATGGAGCCAGGGCCACAAAGGTCCCTTGCTGTCTGCAGCTCACTTGGCTGAAGATGCCCCACTGCTGAGGCTCTGCCAAGGAGATCCCTCTGTTTTCTTCTGTACAGGGCTCTGTCAGCCCAGACAGAGAAAACCAATGCTAATTGACAGAGAGAGCTAAAACTTGGACACATTCCTGTGCATCTCACTCTTGGTACAGCTTTTCTTGCTTGCTTCCCTTGGACTCAGCCAGCAGTGCTATCTCCTGGCTGTGAGTTTTGAGTGTTGTGCAGGGATGGAGTTTGGGCAGTTCTGAGAGCTCCTCCCCACTCTCTGAAAGGTCACTGCCTCAATCCAATGAAAAGTAAGAGGAAACAAATGCCCAAAGGGCAGAAATCCCCAACCATGTCCCATCAAATCACAGAGAGACTCATTGGACACAGCCATGTGGCTGGAGTATGTGTATTGCACTCTGTATTATTAATTTATTGGTGCTAAGTATTTCAGCAGGAAACTTCCAGGGCTTCCAGAACTGTGCTAGTGGCTGTGATCACAAATTATTCATCAGTGCCACTTGTTCAAGGAAAGCCTTTCTGAAGAAGTACATCTCTGACATTCTTGCTGGTTTGTTTGGTTTTTTTGGGGTTTTTTTTTTTTTTTTTTTTTGCCTTTCAGCTGCTTCCCTCTAAGTTCCAGAGGGAGAAATTTGTCAACAGAAAGCAGGAGGCCAGCACTGGGCGGAACTTTCTGCCCAGAACTGGCCCATGTGTAGACATGAGCGAGACTCGTCAAAAGGTAGCCTTTTCCTGCTCTTTTCCTTTCTGTTTCACATGAAGTTTGAAGAGAGTGTGTACTTGTGACAGGCTCACCTCCAGCAAAATACCTCAGTCTCCAGGTCCTGTTGTCATTGCAAACTGCTGGCAGTGGTGGACTGGGAGTCCTGATCTGCACTAAGCCAACACAACTGACCTCTGCTGAAGCTGCTGGGCTGTGCTGGAGTGTAGCTGCCATTGCTAAAACCATGGGGGGAAGGCTGGGGACACAAAGACACAAAATTGCCATTTGCCATTCTCCTGCTGAAGGAGCCACCTCTTGCTTTGGTGTGGTCACCATCAAATGCTTGGGGGTCACAGGATTCTCTCCACAGTGGCAGCGTTGGCCTTTGAAGGGCAAGGATCTGCAAGAATCACTTCAGATTTAGCAAAACAACTTTCATTACTGCTTTGGGTTGGAACAATGTGTTGGACCCTGGTGGGGTATTAGATTTTGCAGGCTGCCAGATGTGCAGGGGACTCACCCATGCCAAAAGAACAGCTTGGCTTGAGCCTGCTCCATGTGGCCCAGCAGCTCTCGATCAGCTCAGAGCAGAGGTGGGTGAGCCACTGTTTGCCCAGTGTGTCCTGGGCACATATGCTCACCCAGCGTCTGTGCTTCACTGGGGATCAGTGTAAGGGGTCCTTCATGAGCCTTCCTCCCAGCAGCTGAACCTCTCCCTGCTCTCTCTCACCTCTCCAGCTGTCACCAGTTCCCCCAAAATGGAGCTTGTTTCAGGTTTCCCCATCAGATACAGTATTTCAGGACTTCATCTTGTGAATCCCAGTGGGCAGAACCTGGCAGGAATGCCCAGCAGCCCAGCTTGCCTGCACAGGCAGCAGGAAGCCCTGGAGAGCCAAGATTGGCTTTTCATACTGGACCACACTGTCAGTCAGTGCTGGTCATGTTTCTCCAGGCAGAAAATGCCTTTGAAGCCCACAGTCAATAGGCACAGCCTGTGTGTGTTTCCATCACTTTTGGCAAGCTGATTGCTCTCATGGTTTTATGATTCTTCCTTGCTGCTTTACTGCCCATTTAAATTCTCTTTGCCGTCTCCTTGTTTTAGGGATTGTCTTGCTGTGTTCCTTCTTTTGCTTTTCAGGTTTACTTTTATTCCCAGGAAGGCCACAATGGTTTGGTCTCCTCACTTACTGCTCTGCCTGCATGACTCTATCCCTAGAACGTCCCTACCCAAACCAGACCTGCTAGAAGGGAATTTTTTCCTTCCCCCAGGACAATTTGATGTTTTGCTTTCAGGTAGCACATTCCCCCCTGGAACACGACTGCATGGCTGTGTGCAGGCAGAAGCCAGCAGGTTTTCTGGCCTTGTGGAATATGCAGATGACTTGGTTCAGGTGCTCTGTCTCCATCCTGCTGGTGCTGACCTGCTTGGCCCTTCCTTCCCCACCAGGCACTGCCCAACTGCCCCAGGCCACAATGCTGGAGCCAGACAGGAGGGGTTCAAGCTCACCCTTGTGAATGATGTGCCTGTGCCTGCTCAGCTGAAAGTGCTTTGGGAAAGGGGCCAAGGAGGGATGTCACCAGGGCACGGACAGGGCTCCTCTAGTCCTGTTTCCACAAGTGGCAAAGTCATCATTTCCTGTCTTTGCTGCAGATTGCTCGGATGGTGAAGGTTTCCATGGAGAGCAGCCCTTATTTCCAGCTGGCATGCCCCAGTGATGTGTACCACATCGTGCCACCGGGCGCCTCTGCCCCTGTGCGCATCCGCTTCACCCCCGACGAGAACAAGGTGAGGCTGGAGGGGCCAAAGCACACAATGATCTCCACAGCCATCGTTTTCCCTGCACTCTGGCTCCAGCCCATTGCATGCTGTGAGCTGGGCTCCAGGCCTGGGCAGGCAGCCTGCAGCAGCCAGTCACACCTTGGCACTGCTGACAGGCTCTGCTTCCCCTCCCTGCACATCCCTGAGCATTGCCAAGGGAAGATGCACAGGGAACAGGATGAAAATGACAGAGAGGTGTTGACAGATGTTCGGCCATCTCTAGGTACAGTGGAAGGGGTTTCATTATTATGGAAAACACTTGAGGGACAAAGAGGTCAGAGAGCTTTCCTCCTTCCTGACTGCCAACAGCTTCCCTGCCTCACCCTGGGCTGGAGCAAAGATGGTGCTTTTCCACCCCTCTGTTCTCCAGCCTTGCAGCTGTGCTGTCCCAGAGCACAAGTGAGCCTGGCACAGCTGCAGGGCCAGGGCAGAGGACGTGCTGTGCCCGTGAGCCCGGCCTGGCACAGGCACACTGGACTCTGGGTGCCCTTGGTCAGCAGCAGGTTGCTGAGCTGCAGGGGACTTGGACACCTGCCTGAAGGAGCTGGTGTAGGGCAGGTACAAGCTGCAGGCAGAGCTGTGGGCCCAGAGCCCGTGGCAGTGACACTGCTGGGGCTCTGTCTTCATGCCTGGCACTGTGCTTGCTCTGTCAGCTGGCACCCATTCCGTGCCAAAGGTGCTTCTGCATGGAGGTTTGAACAGCAGTGCTGAGGCCCTGGCAAGTCTGATATCAGTGCTGGCATCTGGAGGCTTGTTCATACAGAAGGGTTTAGGACATGACATGGAAGGGAGGAAGCCTTGCAGGCAAACAAAGAGAGGCTCTTTCCAACAGCATCCTGCAACCTCTTAGCACTGTTCTTCTCCTGACTTGGCTGGAGAGGCAAAGTTAGAGGGGAGTTCTGAGCCAACTGATGTTTCTGCACCAGGCCGGAGGTGCAGGATCTCTTTGAGTGCAGCAGTTTTCTCATCTTCCTTTTGCTGCCTAGAGTCAGTTTAACACTTTGTCCTATTCTCAGACAGTGGGAATATAGAAACCTGAAGAGGAATGTCCTGTGCTCCCTAGCTCCATGTTCCTTAGAAGGAACTTAGGAATTACTTAACATCATTAAAATTTGTGCATGAAAATTATGGTGGCCTAGGGCAGTTCTCCTTATGACCCAAGTGACACAAGAGCTTAATGCCACTGGGATAGCTTTTGCAAAGTGCACTGGTGCCTTTAAAATGTGACTTAGTAGTAGAACTCAGTGTTCATTTTAGGGTGGAATAGGTAAATTGATGCCATGGATGAGTTACAGGAAATGGTTTTTCTTCTGCCATGGGGATGGCACTAAATGCCCTGTGCTGAGCCAGTTTCTTTTCCTGCAGAATTATTCCCATGAGATCACCTGCATCACTGCCAAGGAGAAGATAGTTGTGCCAATTGAGGCCATCGGTGCTCGAGCTATCTTGGACTTCCCTGCCCAGGTGGACTTCTTCAAGTGTCCGGTCAAGCACAGCACCCAGAAGACTCTGCTGGTTCGCAATGTTGGAAACCGGCCTGCTTGTTACGAGCTCAGCACCCAGAGGTGAGGCAGCTCATCTGTCCTTGTGCAAAGGATATCTGTCACCTTAGGGTGATGGTAGAGTTGGGAAAGAGCAGCAAAAGGAACCAGAGCATCAGAGCTGCTGCCCTGCAGCCCTGGCTGGAAGTGAGCAGGCAAGCCCTGAAGTCACCCCCAGGAATGTTATTCCCATCCTGCCATCAGAGGGCAGGAATATGTAACATGGGGCAGCAGTGGGAATGGAATGGAATGGAATGTAGTGCTGAAGTGTGGCCATGGATTCCCTTGACTGGCAGCTTCTCTGTTCTGGTGGAATTTCTGGCAAAAGAATAAAAAGAATAATCCTGTGCTTTGCCCCCAGCAGGCACTGATCCCCCGAGCCCCAGCAGGGACCTGCAGCAGTGCTGGCATCAGCCCTGCGGCAGATGCAGGAGCACGTGCACCAATCTGGCTCTGGGGCTGCTGGGGCCTTGTCTTTCCTCCCCTCCCTCCAAAGTCTCACGTCCAGCACATGAACATTGCTGGCCCAAGGCTTCTCCATCAGCCAGTGATGTTCTCACCAGTGGGAATGGGAACAGCTCAGCCCATCATTGCAGCAAGAGGTCCTTCATGAGCTGAACCTGAAGCAAGTGACATGAAAAAAGCTCAGCTTGCCAGATGTTCTCTTTATTTTTGTGTGTGATGCATTCATCACCAAACTGCCCAGAACACCCTTTTAAGTGACAGATTGACCACCAGCAAAGCACCAAGGCCAGCAAAGCACCAAGGCCAGGAACTTTTGTTTCCTCAGTGGGGCTGTAGAAGAGCACAAAGCCCAGCAGCTGCTGGGCAGGAGCACATTTCCCCTGAGCTGTCCCTGAGCATCAAAGCACGCAGTCTTGTGCTTGTCAGGCAAGAGCTCTTTACCTGGTGACCAATCCTGATTGCTCCTGTTAAATCCAAAGTGCACCAACACATTTGCATTAATGTTTCCAACACATTGGGATCCTTCAGCCTGTAAATGGCATCCTCCTTTTGGCTTTCCATGTCACTCTATTGCTCTAATCTGCATTTGCACTCTTTCAGAGCTTTGACTGCTCCTTTTCTTGGAGCAGCTTTCATTGAAATGCTGATAAAATGTGCCCGTTTTAGGCTAGATCAGGATGTTTTCAAGGCAAAATAAACCAAAGAACCACACTGCAAATTCAACTGTAACTATTCCTTGGTCTTCAAGGAAAAGTTCCTTCTCCCTGTCTGATTCCTAGGCTGTAATATCCCAGGACAGGTAGTGCCCTAACATTTCCATCTCCTGAGAGGAGGTTTATAGGCAGCAGGAAAAGAGAAACTCCTGAGGCAGTCAGTGTCAAGTTGTGCATGCAGATAGCTCTGAACCCTCTCTGTGCTCTTCACAAACCATTCTCTGATGGGATTGCTGGCAGTGGGACCCTTGAGTCGCACTGCAGAGAGCTGGATGCAGAGTATGGGGGAGATGACGTCATTTTACCCCCAGTGTAATGGGTTAAAACTTTAAGTTTGTTCATCAAAGCTGACAAAGTTATTCCAGTAAGACTGCTGCACCCCATCCATTTGTTTGCCTAGTAAATTTCCAGACTTAAAAAGATAAGGAAGGTTAAACCAAAGACAATGGGTTTCACAACATTTGTTTATCTGCTTACTAAACTGTTGACATGGGTGGTGGGCTTGCTATGATTGATAGCACAGTATTACCTTATCTGCTCAGTAAACTTAAGATTCCAGGAACTCAGTAGATTGAGCTTAAAATTCCAGGAATCAGAAAAACCTACCAAATAAGGAAAAATACCGGCCTTCATCTTCAGACCACCTAGCAACAGGAGGAGCATATGCAGAGTACTACCTTGAAGACACGTCAACCAAAACCAGGACTATATATAAACCCCGCGAAACACCAGAAGGGGGTGGGCCGTTGATAGAGAGGTGACTCCGCGGCCACACCCAGCGCTCCCGGGTGGGTGCAAGCCTTTTGTTGGTTTCACCCAGCGCTGACTTTGCCTACTATCGCTTGCTCTAGCAATTAATAAATTACATTTTATTTGGACTTGCTAGTCGGTGATTGCTAGTCAGTGATTGATTCCCCACCGCAACCTATAACACCAGGATCTTGTGAGGGCTGGATCTCCTCAGCAGTGGCTTAGTGGCTGTTTCTGACCCTGTCTGTTCTGCCTTCTGCTGCCTGTGCTTGGTTTGCTCCCTGCTTGCCCAAAGGAGCTGCAGTGCAGAAGGAATCTCATGGCCAGGTGTCCCCCCAGCCCTGACCCCTCTCTTTGTCTTGCAGTCCTTTCTCTGTGGTGCCGACCTCAGGAATTCTGGGCGCTGGTGACGCCATGCGGGTGAAAGTGAGATTTCACGCGCTGACCAACGGGGACTATTTTGGGTCCCTGGCAGTGTGCTGCAACCCAGGTGAGTGCTGGGCCCTGCATGGGCACAGGACAGTTCTCCACCATGGCTCCCTGTTGTCCCTCCCCCTGCATTCCCTCTAGAGGTGCCTCCCCTGTTCAGCTTTACCCCAAAGAAAACTGAAAACTCCTTGGTGTTCAGGGGCTTGAGAAAGTGGATCCCCTCTAGCGGGCAAAGATTTTTGACTCCTGTTTTGCTGGGAGTTGCTGAGTGGAGGAAGGAGGATCCCTGATGCTCTACTACCATGTGGCTATGCCTGGTGAAGTTTTATTTTATTCCTAGTGCTGTATGTGAGGTCTCCATCAGACTCTCTCCAATGCAATGGATTTCTTGCACACCTCTATCCCATATGCTGCTTCTCCACTGGCTTGTCACACATCCATTTTCTATGTGGCCCTTACGCATATATGTAGTTTTTGTCTAATAACATTTTCAGGCCCTCAAGTTCCTGTTTGGTGACAAATCAAGACAAATTTTTCCCTGTGCCCATTTCCCGGGCTGTTCATGTTGTTACAAACGTCTCACATCTATCTCCCATTTGATTTCTAGACTGAGGAATCCCATTTCAGTCTTAATGTAGAAGCTGCTCTGTATTTATTAATCTTTCCTTTGTCCCTTTTTTATTTCATGTGCAATGCTCCAGCTTGGTTTTTGAGATCAGAACAATCAGAACAAAATATTTCAAGACTGATGTGGCTGTGGGTTTGGACAGGGAGATGATGATTTTCATGGTGTTCATTTTAGAGTGGTTTGTCATATTGCAGAGCCAGGCTGGTTGTGTTTCCTGACCTGTGTCCCCTCCTGCTGTGGGCTGTCACTTCACTTGTTCCTCTGGGCCTCCTTTTGCTGCCCACCTGCCTCCAGGCATATTTGCTGGTCAGCAAGAAGGGATCCAAGGGATCAGGAGAGACAGGAGTCTCGTGGGATGCCCAGGGAGAGCCTGGGCAAGGCAGGACTGAACAGGGCTCCTCAGCCCTGTCACCTGAAGGACCTGGATGCAGAAATCCCAGTGATCTGAGTGGGTCACCAGAGCACACTGACCAATCTCACTGTCCATACTGTCACCTTGGGGCCAAATCTCTACAGACACACTCAGAAATAAGGGGTTTAAGGAGCTGCCCAGGACATCCTCACACTCTACACACAGAGCTGTCAGGATGTGACAAATGGACTGATCCAAAGAACTGCTCATTCAGATAAAAACTGGGACACCTTCTTCTGTGCCCCGTGGTTTGTTCTGTTCCTTGTGCTTCCATCAGCCAGTGAGCTGAGCAATGACTCCCCTTTGCTTTGTTCCAGATGAACAAATTATCCACACAAAGCTCCATGGAAAAGCTGTAGATATTGATGTTGTGTTGAGCACAGATTCCGTGGAGGCTGGCAAGACTTTTATCACCAAGTCACACCAGACAACCGTGTTCATCGAAAACAGGAGTAACATCACAGCACACTTCCAGTGGAAGGCTCTTCCTACTGAGGAAGATGACAACGAAGAGAAGAGGAGGTTGGTTTGGAAGATACATTTCAGTGAGACATATATACATGGCCCAAGACTGAAACTAACGTATGGCCTCAGGGGGGTGTTGGTGCTTTTGAATGGTTTGGGCCAAGTAAACCATCCCTGGCACTAGGGTGTGTGTCCCTGGGCTTCAGGAGCTCAGCACTCAGCATTCCAGTTCCATTTATACTCCAACCAGAAATGGCATTTAGGAAGGAAAGGTTGATTGCAATGACTGGATTTCCTCAGGTTCTAATTGGGCTCTTGTCTCTCTAATCTTCTTCCTACATGACCTGGCAACATCTCCCCTTCCCAGGGAAGTGCTGCAGTGGGTGCTCTGTGACCTTTATCTGCATCCCCCGAACAGCTCAGTGGGAGGAAAAGCCAGCTGAGGTGGTCGGTGGATTCTGCCTCAGTTTTGGCAGAGGCTTTGAGCCAGGAGGTTTCTCTGGAGGGATGCTGGCTTTGGAAACCTCTCCTGAGCTTGCAAGTGTGGGCTGAAACTCCCTGCTGTGCCAATGAACAGCAAGTTATCCTCTGATCCATGTGGGACCCTTGTGGCTTGGGCTCAGCCTTTGCTGGGGAGCTGCTGCTGCTCCTCCCCAAGTGCTTTGCTCTCCTGCACTCCCACTTCTCTCTGCAAATATGTGGCTCATGAAACCATCTGCTGGCCTTGTCTCTCCCTGTGGCTGCAGGCAGAGTTTTTTGCTACAACCATCAGGTGAGGACTGGCTGGAAAACTTCATGGAGGAGAAAGAAGTAGAGAAGGAGCAGGGCTTTTGTGAAGATCACACTACCCTCCTGAGAAGCAGGGTCCAGGAGAAAAAGGCACAGGCGCAAAAAGACCCCCTGCTCTTCTCCAATGACTTTTTTTTCATTGAGCCAATGGTAAGTGACAGCTGAGAACCTCATTTTCTTCCTCCTCCTCTTCCTCCTCCCAAGCACCCTTTCCCCGGCTGCAGTCACTGGGCAGATCCTCAGCTGGCCCCATGTGCTGGCAGGGAGCACATGGAGTGGAGTGGCTGCAGAGCTCCCTGCTCAAAGCATTTCTGCCCTGCAGGCTTGAGGCAGGGCTGGGAGCCTGACAAAGCCCAGCTCTGCTGCCAGGCTGGAGCTCAAGGCCCTGCCTGCGTGTCCTTGCAGTGTCCCAGGGAGCAGTTCCTGTAGGCAGGGGCTCCCCCCACACGTGGGGCTCAGCAGAGGCTGTTGGAGCACTGCCAGCTCACACACTGACCTGAAGCTTGCAATGGTTCCCTGGCAAAAGGAGGCCAAATTCAGCCCAATGTTAATGACAGAAATGCCAATCCCCTCCTGTAACCATGCCTTGCACTGTTTCTGAGTGTCCCTTCCAGTGTCATCTGTGAGCCTGGACACAAGGGTGGAAGGCTGAAATGGGCCTTTGGAGTTCTCCTGCACACAGGGACAGAAAACCTCTTCCTTTTCTGGTGATGCAAGCAAACTGCCACGTGCTCCCATCAACCAGAGCCCTGATTCTGAGTACTGGCATTGGGAGAGATGATGAATGCCTGGTGTCTGCACAGAGCAAAATCCCTTCTCATCTTGGAGTGAAGCCCAGAGTAATCCCAACCTCTGCTTTCTTTCAAAACAGCTTAACTAACATTTGTATTTCAAGGAAGGGGATCATATTCTCTTCTTGGTTACTCCTATAGCCCATCTAAGGCCAAGAGCCACCAGTGCACAGTGGAATTTACATCCCATGGAGCTGACAGCAGCATGATGGGACCAAGAGCTTGTGTCAGAGCAGCAGGAATATTGTGGAGAGTGGGAGCTGATCAGCTGAGCATTGAGAGCTTCCAGCGCTGTGTTGAGCTGGGTTTGGAGGCTTTCCTTGGCTGCTTGTGTTGTTCACTCATCACTGATGCTCTCAATCAAGGCTTGCAGGCCTGTGGTTGGAAACAAGAAATGTGAAGTTTGAAGAGCAATGTTTTGCTGTCTCTTTCTGCTGTAGGAGGGAGAAATTGGGCCCAACTGTTCGGCTGAAATCAAGGTGACCTTTCAACCCCTGGAAACACTGGAGTATCGAAGTGTGGCTTACTGCAGCATCTCAGGTGCAGCTCCTTTGCCCTGCTTCTCTCCCTCTCAGTGAAGCCATGGTGCCAGCCTGAGCCCACTGGGCTCCCATGGAACTGCTGGGAAGAGTCCTTGGTCAGCAGGGCAGTGCTGGCACATCCCCACTGGCCCTGCAGCTTCCAGGGAGTCTCCTGTGCAAGGCCAGGGCTCAGAATGCCGTGTCTGCCTGACTGATCCCAGAACAGCCCAGGCAATGCAGGGAGAGGTTTCATGCCATGGCTTTGCCAGCATTTCCTCAAAGGCCAGAGAGCTCCAGAGCAGAACAGCTTTAGTGAACAAGCACTAAGCCCCTGCAGGCCCCTGGCCTCCAGGATGGGTCCATTTGCCATGGATCCATCATCAGGTGGTAGGAGCTGAGTTAGAAATGGGCTCCCTGAGCCTGGATCACCTCCCAGTGCCCAGACAGCAGCAGAGCAGAGGTGGCTGAGCCCCACTGAGCCCAGGCTGTTTGTAGAAGGAGCACCCTTGGCCAGCCCCTGCTTCTCTCCCTGTGTGGGAGTTGTCACCTTGCAGCTCTCAGTCTGTGGAAACAGAACACAGTGCTGAGTGGCAGAAGGGGAGCACTGGGGCAACAAAGGCCTGTGCTCCTGGGCCAGGTAGTTTGGGAATTGCCAAACTCTTCATGAGCTTTGTGCCTTCACTGAAGGGAGTTCAAAGCTCCTCTAGGTGTATAGGAAGGAAACCACAGAATCACAGTATGTTAAGGGTGGAGTGGACCTTAAAGATCATCAAGTCCCAAGGCCCCTGCCATGGGCAGGGCCACCTCCCCCTAGACCAGGTAGCTCAAAGCATGACTGCATCCAGCTCAGAGTCAGGGACAAGCACTGAGGCAGCCTGGAAAATCCAGTGGAACAGAGGGAATGATTGTACTGAAATGGACATCTCTCCCCAGGCCGTGAGAGCAGGATGCCCCTGTACCTCAGAGGGGAAGGCCAAGGACCCTTGCTTGAATTCAGCTCTCCTACGCTGAACCTTGGCAAGATTTTTATCAACACCTCCTATGTCTATGAGGTGAGCAGCAGGGCTTGGGATGGATCCTGATGGCTCCTGTGGCCGCAGCAAGCCTGGTGGAGCTGTGGAATTCCTGCCAACCTGGGCACTTGTGAGCAGGGAATATTTGATGTACTGCTCAAATCTCGGGGGGGGGGGGGGGGGGGGGGGGGGTCACAAAGGTGTGTCTGTTGTTCCTGAAGCCTCAGTTCCTGCTTTTGGGCAGCCTTCCTTAGGGATCAGCTGGGAGGCTTCCTGCAAAACAACCCCTTGGCACATGAAACCAACACTGCCTCAAAAAGCCGCATGTTGAGAGGCTTTTGTGGCAGTGCCAGACACAAGGCCCCTTTGGACTGGGCTCTGCAGAAGCAGCTGCAACAAACTGGCTGCCTTGGGCTTCAGCCCACTGCAAACAGCTTCCAGTCAAGTGTCCCTGCCTATTCCTGGAAGTCACAGGAAAGCCATCCAGCCTCCTGGCTCAGTGCTGGCCCTTGCAAAGAGCTTGGGAGTTCTTTCCCTTGCTGACCAGTCCCTCACCACACTTCAGCCTTGGCGCATCTCTGGCTCTAGAAGGAGAAAAGTCATCCTGGGTGTCACCATGTCCTCAGTGACCGTCGGTCACTGCCCAGCCAGCCCTGACATGGTGGGCTAAGGAGGACAGTCCCCCGTGCCTGGGGGTACAGGAGGGCGGCCAGGGGTGTGAGCCCTAAAGCAGAGAAGGCATAGGCTGGCCAAGGTGGAGAAAAAAAGAGCTAACTCTCTGTAGGGTTCAGTCTGAGGTTTACCAGAACCTTGGGAAAAGCTCCACGCCTCAGGGGAAATCTAGGTGTGAGGGAGCTCCTGCTGGCTTACAAATGGGCGTGGAAACAAGAGCGGGATTTAGCGAGCAACCAATGGGAAGAACTGGGGGTGTGGAAATCAGGGAGAGCGACAAGAGGGGCAACAAATCAGGAAATGCTCTGAGGGAGGGCCCCGAACTCTGGCCCATCACTCGACGCCGCTGGTGGAAGGTTCTGGAAAGAGGGGACGGGAGGCCGAGAGACTGACAGGAGTCCGGTGAGGAGATTGGGGATTGAATCGGGAAACACTCGGGGTGCTGGGCAGGGAGTAGGAAGGATTGACAGGCTGGGGGGAGTGAAATAACTTGAGGTAAGCCAGTTTTGGGTTCAGCCAAGGTCACAAAAATGGCTAAACCATAACAAACAGAGAACTGGGGTGATAAAAACAACAATATCAAAACCATAACAGACAGAGAACTGGGGTGATAAAAACACAATACAACATTTGGAAATAAAGCAAAGGAATTTTCTATCTGTTTTCCTCGCCCCCAGTAGTGTCAAGTTTGCAAAAAAAATCATGAGAGAGCAACTGAAAGAGGTAGAAAAGGAGGCCCTGTGTCATGCCAGACACTTTCAAAAGCGTGCCTGGGGAAGGGAAAGACACGCTGAGTTTTCTTACCAAAAGATGGTGCTGTGTGTACATTTTGATGCTGATGCCTCATTCTCAATGAATTGTTTTCATGGTCTGGGAAAAGGTGAATGAGTAGATGGTGCTGTTGGAGCTGTGCTCACTGGGGCAGCAGCAGCTCTGGGCTGATTCACTACGTAGCTGCAATGACCCCACTCAGGGCTCTCAGGGCCAGCTCTCAATGAGCTTGGTGCTGCTGAGCAGAGGGGCACTGCTCTGTGTCCATGGGATAAGCCCAGGGTGACTGCAGTTCTGTGGAGTTGCCACTGCTTTGCATGAAAACCCAAAGGCAGAACTTGTCCTGTTGTATATTTTGACTTCTGCCATTCAGCACCACAAAGCATCTTCTGCCTTTTTCAGGGTGTTCATTGCATCATTAGACAATAACTCACAAGAAGGGAAGATTCCACATGTATTTCCATTTTGCTTTCTTGCTTCTGCAGGTGAAACTGATTAACCAAGGAGCTCTTGATGCTCCCTTCACCTATATCCCTTCAACCACAGATGTGGACTTCTGTTTCAAGTTTCAACCCGAGCGGGGCATCATTCCAGCAGGTGGGACCCAGACTATTCGGGTCTCCTTTGATGCCACTGTGCTGGGGAGCTTTGAGAAAGCATTTCAATTCAGTGTGACTGAATCTCCTACACCTGTGTTCCTGACCATCAAGTAAGGACCCTGGGAGCTGGGTGGGCATATCTGTAGCTGCCTCTGGGACATCCCCCACATATCTCATTCTGGGGTTGAGCAGAGAAAAAAGGTGTTGCCTGAGGTGTGAATCTCTGCTGTGATCCTGGCATTGCCTTAGTGTGAGGCTGCCTGCTGCCCTGTGTGGTGCCCAGGAGCTGCAATGACTCCTCCCTGCGGGGATCTCCCTCTGCCTTGGGCCATGGCAGGCAGTGGGATGGATCAGCTTTGGGCAGCAGCTGCTCTGGGATGTCCCACCTGAACACCCAGCAAGGCCCGCAGGGCTTTGAGATGGACCAGCCTGGGTGATTCTGCAGCAGCAGCAGCAGTGTTTGTAAAACCTTGTGTGAATACTCCATGCCAGATGGGCAGCAGCAGCCTCAGCTCCCCTCTCCCAGCTATGCTGTGGGGACAAGCTGTGCTCCCAGCTCCTGTGCACAGAGGGCTCTGGTGCCTCCTTTGCACAGCCAGCAAAGGGCTGATGTGGGAGTCAGGAACTGTGCAGCAGGAACTGTGCCAAGGACTTGGGCACCATCCCGTGGGCTGGTGCCATGGCAAGAGACAATCCTGGCCCAGCCAAAGGGAGAAGGGCGGATCATAGGGGAGGCAGAGCTCAGTGCTCAGCACCACAGCAGCGTGAGGGCTTGTCCCTGCCAGCCTGAGCCATGTGCTGCAGGATAATGGAGTGGAAGCAGGAGAGCTGATGCTGGCTGCTCTGCAGCTTTGGAGCTGGGCTGCTGCTCTTGGGAGGCACTGGCTCAAGGCAGTCAAGAAATGAAAACAACCTGAATTTGATTATACCAATAAGATAAGGGAGATGGACAAAAAGGAACAAGGAAGTTATTACTTAGCAAGAGAAAAGTGGTGAGTAAGTCTGCCCATAGTGGAGAAACAATGATGCTGGCTTTGTTTTTGGAGGAAAAGTGCTGCTTTTTTAGTTTGGAAATCAAGAGGGAACCTTTCACCATCAAATAATTGATTTTCCTCTGTCCCTCCCCCAAACTGGTCATGGGATGTTTCTGCATAAGCAGCTTTCTCCTTGAGCAAGGGCAGGTGTCTCTTGTTGAGATGTGCAGAGCAGAGCCAGGGGCAGTCCTGTGAGTACAACACAAGGCACAGTTCACTGCTCCTTGATTTTGAACCAAAAGGCAGAGTGGGCGTTGATTGGCATCAATACATGAAATCAACTGGTGAGTGTTGTGCAGCTTCAAGTGCTGATTTCAGAGGGTGTTGGTGGCTTTTGGAGTGTGTCTGCTGAGTTCAAGGACAGGTGAGGTGCTGTGCTAGATTCAGGACAGCCTTGTTGGGTTGTTGCAGCTATTGCTCTTGGCTGTGCCAGCTGTACACTGCTGACAAGCTGGTCCTTTCCTCTAGGATTCATCTGTGCCCTGGGTAGAACTGTTGCTGCTCTTTTCAGAGGATGTTTGGGGCTCCCCTGCATTCATGTCTCAGAACTCTGTCTGTAATGATTGTGTGGGTCAAACTCTCCTGAGAAAGCTCCTCTATGGGAACAGCAGTTCCAGCTAAGAAGTAGCAAAGCAGGGAACCTGTGGCTGGAAAGGCTGCTTACAGAAGTTTGTGGGGACACCTTGATGTCCATCCCATTGCAGCTGGGGAAACTGAGGCACAGAGCCATGTTGGGGTGTGTGTTCAGGGTCCTTCATGGGACCACCAGCATCCAGGGGGCCTCTCCTGCCTGCCCATCAGGGGCTGTTGGCTGCTGCCACTTGGCTTGAGCTGCCTCCTGTGCCCAGGGCCCTGTGCTGAGCACACGGGGCTGTGTTGGTTGGGAACCCAGGGTGCCCTGAGCCCAGGTTTTGTGTCCCCAAGCCATGACAGCCGGACCTTTGCAATGCCTTTAACCGAGCCATTTCCTGCTCTGTCCTCGCCATCCAGGGGCAGCGTCACTGGACCGGATTTACAGTTCGATGTCCCTGAGCTCGACTTCGGGGACATCTCCTTTGGTGAGTGTTCCCTGGGCTGGGACACAGTGTCAGGGATCTGTGCCTTCCAACATAAAAGCACCCCTCACTCATGGTCTGCCACAGCAGCCTCTTCAGGCTGTGAACTGCAGGGCTGCTGCTGCCTCGGGGGGCATTTTGCCATTGTGAGATTGAATAGAACCACAGAATAGAAAGGCAGCTGTTGTATCTTTTCTTCTTTTCAGCTATTGACTGTTGTTTGCATGTGCTGACCTCAGTCTCATTTGAGGTTTTGACATCTGGGTTTGTCCTTTTTGTGCCTCTCTTGCCTCCCTGCTGGAGTCCCTGCTGGAGCTGGCAGTGATCACTGTTGATGGGCACAGAGAAGCTCTGGGCTGCACCTGCAGTTGTTTTTTCTCCCCATCTGTGTTGCAGAGACTCTTGGTGAGCAGGCCTGGGGAGAATTCTCCTCCCCACAGAGCTGGCCAGCCCAGCCAGATGTGCACTGCAGAGCAGGCTGTGGCTGTTCTCCGGGCTCTGCAGGACATCCCCACCATGAGTGGCTGTATCTCTGCAAATCTCAGAGCTAAAGTGGGGATCCCCTTGCAGGCACAATCACAGTGAGCAGCATGGCTGTGATGTCCCTGTTTGCTGGGTGAGGTGGGACCTGGTTCCTAATTGCTAATCTCAAAGCAAGGCTGGGGTTTGCCCCCAGTTCAGTGGGCTCTGAGCTGTCACGTGCTCAGTCTGTTTGGCCCAAACCAAGAGATGCTTTAAGGGTCCTGCAGAGAGAAACTGCATTAAGTGCATCACGTTCTAGTTCCTGATTCCATCCTCACTTTCTTTTGCTGTAGCTTCTTCTCAATGACAACTCACTGTTTATGTATCTTGAAAATGGTGAGAGTGTTGGCAGACTTACCAGGGAATTTTACAGCTTGAATTCTCAGAGTAAATGCTTGGTCTGGGTGCACACTCATCACTGAGAGAACCGGTGCTGGTTTGGGGCAGGTGAGGGAGCTCCTCCCCATCACAAAGAGAGAAGCTTGCAGTGTTCAGCAGGGTTAGGAGGGGGTATTTTCAAGGCTGCAGTCTGCAGTCAGTGGCAAAGGGAACTAAGTGACAATTAATTCCTCATGCAGCTTCTTGGTGAGCTGTAGTTCAGATAATAAAGAGCTCAATTCCAATCACACTTTCATCCTGCCAGGATATTCCCACCAGGAGTCATGCCATGATGAGTGCCTAAATGGATATTTGTGTCCTTTTCTAGGCTTTCCCTATACCCAGAGCTGCCGCCTCACCAACAGCTCCCCGGTGCCCGTGACGTTCAAGCTCCGCATGTCGGAGGATGGCATGCAGCCGGCTGTGAGCAGCTTTGATCAAGTACGCAAAGAAGGTGACCCATCCTGGGACAAGGGAATTCAATTCTGTATGGAGCCAAGGGAGTTCACAATGAATCCCAGCCAAGGAACCATCGTCCCCCAGGGACACCAGCATATTCAGGTATGGGAAGAATCCAGCCACAGACGCTTCAGCACCAGGGCTGAAGCTTCACTGGAGTGTGGGAGGGCTTTAGCTCTGGTGCCAGCTTTGAGCATCCTGGGAGTGAGAGATCTGCACTGCTGGGAGGCCTCTGCTGGCTGGGTTACTTGGGATGTTCCTCAGGGAGCACTGTTTTGTTTCCAAAATCATACACTGAGATCAATACCATATAGTCAAGTCCTGAAGCCATTCTTGTGTTTTTGAGAGCAATTTCTTTGATTGCAGATGAGCAGAGCAAGGATGAGGGCAGAAGGTGTCTGTTAGGGAGATGTAATTGTATAAAGCAGTTAGCTTTTCTTCTTGGTCTCATTTCTCCTCTCCTGGGGAGCAGAATGATTTGTGTTCACTGCAGGGATCTCCAGTGGAGACAAAATGCTCTGCAGCCCTGAACTGCCCAGCACCTGCTGGGCCACTCTTTGCCCTCAGCCTCCTGCTGTAAAGCTGAACTCATTCTGTTCAAGTCAGATTTCCTCTGCATTTATGTCATTGTAGTCAGATGAGAAATTGGCCCCTTAATTTGAATACAGTGGTGTGTAGAGCTTTAGTCTAATGTTTTAATGAAGCTGACCTATGCTGTGATAGCAAGGTGTGTTTGGCAAATCTGGTATTGCCAGAAGGCTTTTGCTACTCTAAGACTGTGCTCTACACATGAACCAGCAGAAGAATTAAGGCCAAATCCTCCCTCAAGAACTGGAGGATATCACATGTGAGTAATGAGCTTTTGTAAGGAAGAATTTACTGTTCTTCTCTTCCACCAGGTGACCCTCTGTTCCAACACCGTGACGAGATTCAAACGGAGATTGCTGGTGGACCTGGAGGGTATTGCTAAGGAAGTGGCATCAGTGTTCATCATAGCCAGGTACCTTCCCCTTCCCCCAGGCACTGTCTTGCACAGGCTTTGCTGGCTGCAGCTCCCAAGGAGAAGTGCTGGTTAATGCCCTCATGTTGTGCCAGCTGGACATGAGAACAGCAGTGCTTGGACAGCAGCCTGTGGTGAAAAGCACCTCTGCTCACAGCCCAGCACGGTCCTGGGCCCTTTTCTAAAGGGACCAGGAATGATATCATTTATTGGCCTGGGTGTTGGTGCTTGAGGTGGAACAAATTTCCCGAGGGCCCCCTCTTCCTTCTTCCTGCAAGAGATGGAGTTGTGCTGGTTGTAGCCACCGTGCATTGGTTTGGGACACACCAGGCAGCCTGCTGAGAGTCAGGGTCTGGTTCTGTTCATGACCAATGTGTTCTGCTCCATTTCACAATCTTTGGGGGTAAATGTTCTCCATTCTCTCAGTATCTCTGATTCCCTTGGGGTCATCTTTTTGCCCAGATGTGTCGTTCCTGAGCTGAATGTGTTCCCCATAATCCTGCCGTACCGTGAGTGCCTCCTGAAGGTGCCATATGAGAGGAAGCTCTTTGTTACGAATTCCACCAGCCTTCCTGGCTGCTACGGGCTTATTCCCCAGGTTTGGCATCACATCCACCTGCTCCTTCAAATATTATTGGGGAGATTATTAGGGGAAAAAGGGTTTGGATAAGACCTTGCTGGTTTCTGTTCAGTCTTAAAGATCTGCTGAGAACTGGATCCTACCTGAATGTAAACTTTAGGATGCAGGTTAACCTCCCAAGGAAACAGTTTATGTTCTAGTCTTCAGGGTGTTTTCTTGTGGGAGATCTTAGATGGTTGTGAAAAGCTGCTGCATCCACAGACACCAGTGCCTGTGCTGGCAGCCTCCTTGCAGGATCCCCTGGGAGTGCTAAGCCTACAATTCTTGCAGCTTGTTTGTGCCTTTTACCTTTGTCCTGAGGAGTTTTAAACATGTGTGTATGTTTAAAACATACACACATGTTGTGGTGGATGTTAAGGAGTCTAAAGTTTCTTCAGAGGTCCCTCTGAAGTTGCATTTCATTCTGTCCCTTCCAGAAACGCGAGGAGGATTCTCCTGTGCTCTACAGCAGCCCCAAGCCCTGTGGGATTGTCCAGCCTTACAGCACTGCAGAGATCCCAGTTATAATCGAAGTGCAGACAGTGGGCGAGCATCGCACCAACATTCTCGTCGGCGTGTTCGGGGATGCGAGACACCCACGGGTGAGTGCAAGGGGAGATGTGAGCCTGTGTGCAACTGCTCCTGGAATGGTGTACGGGGACAGGGATTCTGCCAGGGAAAACAGCCACAGGCTGCTGTGGAGAAGGACAGGAGAGATGGGTGGCACAAACAGCCCGTGCCTCATAGGTGGTGATCTCAGTGTCTGACACAGAAGGTAGTTCATCTAAGCTGGAACTGAGGGTAGTTTTAGTTAATTAATCTTTAAAATGCTGTTAACTTTGGAAACATCTGTTTTAAAATATCATCTCTCTCAGCACAAAAGAAGATGTCAGAAGACTTCTGGGAACCTTGAGCTTTCTGTAAAAGAAAGGAAAGCTGGCATTTGAAGAGTGGTTGCAAGGATTTAAACTGATACTAAAACATAAGGAAATGATGATGCCAACTTCCCTGGATGGCACCAAACATCTGAACCTGGGCCATTGTGGCACTGCATGTAAATCAGTGAACAGGAAGGACAGGCAGTGCAGGCTGTGCCAGAGAGCCTGAAGTTTGACAAAACAGTTGTTTTCAACTATCAGGCTGCTTACCTTAAAGAGGAGGGTTTCTCCCCACCAGAATAACCAGTTGTTTAACTGTCAGCCTGGTCTTAACTAGAGATTTCTTGCAAAGCTTTTACCTTTGGGCCAATAATTTGTAGTTTGAAAGGTTCTCTTACCTTAATCCTTTTAAATTTGGACGTGAACCTGTATTTTTCTTTTTCCCCAAAAGCCCAGCATTTTATCTGGAGTGTGGTAGCTGCCCCTAAAGAAATAACTTGAGCTGGGTTGAGCTGTTTAAGCTTTTTTAGGTTTCCCTGTTGTGGTTTGTTTTGGGTGGTTTTTTAATCTTTCTTGCCTGCTTCCTGGAACAGGGAGTAGAATTATGGAGCACTGGATGGCTGGATGAAATCTACCCAAGTCCAACTCTGTTAGAGTTTGGCAGGATCCCAGCTCTACAACCTGCTTCACAAAGCTTTACCCTCTTCAGTGAATGTCTCGTCCCTGTAACCTTCAGGGTAGACATTGTAAGTATCTGTGGGGCTGTTTTCCAGGGAAATGGACTGGTCAGTAGCAGCCATGACTTGGTTTTTAAATGCAAGATTTCCATATTGCCCTGTGTGAGAGGAGGCAAGATACTCCAATATTCCCTCTGAGCGAGGCAAGAGGAACCTGGCTCTGGAGTGGTTTTAGCTGGGGCACCCCTCAGTGAAGTCAGGTGCAAAGATGTTGGAGCAGAAATTAATCTGGGTTGTGTTGACAAGTTCTCCCTTAATTTTATCTTTTGTCTTTAGCTGTGTGTGTCACATTTTGGAGCTCCGAGATCAAGAGAAACCTGTGATCCTTTGCTCCCCAGAGCATGGATTTCACTGTGGTTTCCCTGTCCCATCTGCATTTGCTTTGTGCCAAACTGCTGTTAATAGTAGAGAGCAGGGTGTGAGGTCTGTCCTCAGACTGCTGGTGGGGAGGCAATTTTCACACCTGCTGGGGGTCAAGCCATCTGGGCTGTCCACACAAAGACAAGTGTGGGGGTTGTGCACCCCCAGCCTGTGATCTCTGTGCTATTGAAGAGCATCTTTGGGGAGCAGCTGCAGAGAAAGGCTGTTTAAGGTGTGGGGGCTGCCTTGGGCAGAAGGAGCTGGGGCTGCTCCCCTGGCAGGGGGAGCAGGGCTGGTGCAGCCAGGAAGGGCTTGTAGGCTGGGCCTGGGGCTGGCTGGGATGTCTGCTGGAGGGGGAGATCTGTGAGGGGCTTGAGGTTTGTTCTTCTTCATGCTGGGTGTGTTGAACTTGTGGAGCTGGATAAAACCTGATGCTACGGACTTGTTTGGTCTGTGGATAAAGCATCAGGCCATGTGGGAGAGTCCAGCCACAGCCTCCTGGGCCAAGGAGGAGGGGTGTGAATTTTCCTCTTGCTGCTTTCCCAACTGTTTGGGAGAGAAATGTTATTCTGAAGTGAGGGTTTTTTTCCAGGGCAGCTTTCTCTGACTCCACAATGGAGTTCTGCTTTCAGCCTCTGCAGGGAGCAGTGCACCTTGGCTGGGTGCTCATGGTGTGTAAAGGTTGGGTTTCACATGCTCCTGCCAGGGCCAGACCTGCAGAGCTGTGTCTGTACAGCTGTGCTGGTGCAAGGCCTTTCCCCCTCCTTTGGGCACCTTCCAGCTCCCTTGCTCAGTCCATGAAGTCCATGAGAAAGCAGATGACAAGAGCTCTTGGGAAGAGTGGGCCATGCCCACAGAGCACATGTTGTCCAGTTTTCTTTCTGCTTCCTGCTTTCCTGCTCTGCTAGAAGCATGTAGAGGTGACTTTTCCAAAGCAGAGGGCCCTGGGGCACCTCTCTACAGCTGATGATTGGTGGGGAGTGAGGGCTTCAGTCCTTCAGGGGGTGTTGAGAAGCACTGATGGCCCCTTGGGAAAGAATCGTTTGGTGTTGGGGTTTTGCTTACCTGGTTTTGCAGAGATACATTCTTCAGGCTCTCAGCAGTGTCCTCCAGCCATGGGGTTTCTGCAGTGGGATTTGAGCAGTCCTGACTTCCTCTGGCCTTGAGCCTTTGTGAGAGGCCAGGAGAGAGAAAGCAGCTTTCCTTGGCCCACACTGCAGAGAAAGACTGGGGAAGGAACACTCTCCTGAGGATAAGCATCCCTTGGGTTGGGCAAAACGGGGTTAATTGGGTGAGTCCCTAAAAGGAGGGGAAAATACAGGTTGTATGAACTCTGCTGTTGCCCAGTACTGTAGCTTAACTTCAGGGAGATTAAGCCTTCAGGATTAAGCCTCCCCTCTTTAGTCTTTCCTTTTCTTATATCCCACAAGACACCAGGGTGTATGGTTTCCATCCTAAATGCATATTATGCTTGTCTTACAGCTTTCCAAATCCTACTGCTTTGTTGTTGAACCCAGTGAAGGAGTGATCCCTGCTAGGGGTGAGGTTCCTGTGACTGTCACAGCAACCCTGGATGACACTGTGGGTTTTGAGGAGTCTGTCCAGCTGTTCATTAGGAACAGCCTTTGGAGCACCGTCTTTCTCCAGGCTTTTGGCATTGGCACCACAATTGTCATAGATGAACCATTTGCCCCAGAGCTCAACTTGGGATACCAATTCAGGTAGGAGATCTCTCCACTCCCACCTCTCCTCCTATCTCAACAAGGAGCAGTTTTTCTGTAGTCCTTCAGGCAAGATCTTCTTCAGTGTTCAAAGCCCTGACTGCTTCCCTAAAGGCAGAGATTCCTTTACAAACATGTGATGGGCAGTTGAGAGTTGTTAGACACCCTCAAAAGCCGCTGAAAGGGAAACCAGTTGCTAAATTGCCACAAATTGTCTTTAGTTCCAATACATTGATGTCCTGGCTTGATCAAGTAATGATCTCACAGGCTGCCCCAGAACAAAAGGTTCCTGAAATGGTGCCCAGATGAGGCAGTCCCTCCATGTGGCTGAGGAACCAAGGGAAGGAAGATCCTTTCTCTTGCCCTTGCCCTTGCCCTTTCCCAGTGGCACCTCCCAGGCAAGCAGGGGCCCTGGGAACAAAGAGACAGGAGGGTGACAACCCCCACCAGGAAGGCAGGAGCCCACAGAGCAGTTCCAGAGGCAGAGCTGCCAGCAGAGTTTGCAAAGTTCACTTCCAAACAGTTTCTAATTGCAAAATGAAGTTTCTACAAATGGCTCCCAGTGCAGAGCCAAGGCTGATATGAATGAGAGAGGCTCTGCTCCCCTGGTTTCCTCTCCTGGAGCAGGCAGATGATTTTTGCCAGCTAGCTGGGATCATCCAGAAACTGCCTCTGAGGCAGCTTTTAGGAATGTCTGCAATCCTGCTCCCACACACAGGGTCCCCAAGGGCAGCATCTCAAAGATTCAGTTTCAGTTTTGGGCACAGATTAACACAAAATACAGCAACAGTATGAATCACCCCAGAACAAACATTTTGGGGCAAAACACCACGTCCTGTTATCCTCACCTGGAAAATGTTACATTACCGTAATAAACATATTTCTCTTTGCAATAATGACATCAAAAGGGCAGCTTATCCCACACTACTTCTGGTCCACATTAAGAGCTGGAGATGAAGACAGTCTCCAAGCAATTAACACCTCCGGTTGCTGACTGGGAGCAATCTGATGACCAGGGAAATAGCTACTCCCATACTATTTTCCATCCTGCCTTCTATTCCAGCCTGGTGCCCTGTATTCGTCAGTTCAAAGTAACAAACAAGGGCCGCCGTTACCATCAGCTCTTCTGGAGTGCAGAATGCTACAGCCCACCTGAGGAGGAGGCCCAGAGTGTCTCAGCCCTCAGTAGCCCCCAGGATGATTCCCAGAAGCCCAAACGTGCCAAGCCTGCGTTTGGGGTGAAGTCACCAACGATGGGCCTGGCGCGAGGCCAGTCTGAGGACATGGTGCTGCGAGGCTTCTCCCGCATCCCACAGGTGAGATCCCCTCCTCTGGGCTTGTTCCACCGTCCCTTGACGTTTGCCTGGGGAGATGAGCAGGGGCCTTTACAAAACTGATTTAAGGCTACACGTTTCTGTGGCAGCACCAGTTGCTTTCCTTGCTGGCCACCATCAGACCAGCTGAGACTTTATTGTGATTCCACAGCTACCAAAACCCAGTGCTGATCCCAAAGCAGGGGTGGAAGGAAATATTGCTCTTTTGGGGCAAGCAGTGTTGCATGCTGAGTCAGCAGAGAAGGGCAGAGAAATAAGTTCCACTTAGGCTAGGAGCCCAAAAAGAAAGTGAATTAAACAAGTGCCAAGTGGTTTATCTGGGGTGAGCACGGAGTAAAACAAAAGCCATGTTGAGGGAGGGGGTTTCTCACAAGTGCCTTTTGTGGTTATTGGGGTGCAGTGTCACAGACAATTGAGCACAGGAAGAAAAGGGGGCAGTGACTGTAACTGTGGCAGGAATAGGGCCCATGGTGGGTGCAGAGCCAATGCAGGGCATTTTCAGGGAGCCTTGCCACTACCCACTGGTGACAAGTGACTCTTGCTTGCAGGAGGTGCAGGATTATGTGTACTGTGATACTCTCATTGGGACAGCCCTCAAGAAGGAGAGGATAATAGAAACAATCATCACCTGTGAGTTTATTCACCCCTCTATAGAAGTATCAGCCAGAGAATTCTCTTTCTATGTGGAGAAGGTAAGTCTGGATTGCATGCTGGCATTTACCAGCATGGCTGAGGGGGGTGTGTGCTTGTGTTGAAGCCCCTCTTTACCCTTCCTGAGGCACTTTGTAAAGTGAGTGAAGATGCTTTTAGAGACGAGACTGGTGTTTGACTTCCCCAAAGTAAAAGTGCAGTTCCAGCTGCAGTGCCAAGGAGATGGTGGCCACTTCCAGAGAAATGCCAGTTTCTGTGCTCACTGTAAAGGGAGGCTTTTGAGGACCCTCCAAGGCACGGTGATGTCTGTACACTGATGCTGTAGGGAAGCTGGGAAATCTGGAGATTCCTGTGAATTCCTCAGGCTGACAAGGAAAAACCCAACATCTCCTGTGTCTCTTTGCCTTCTCTGCTGTTGGCATGGATGCTTGATGGTACAGCTGTATGGTATAGCTCTGTGCATTTCCCTAAGCCTCCTCTGCTTCAAAGGATCCCAGGCATCCTGCAACTGCAGTGATGATAACACTGAGGCAGAGCAGGTGCCCTTTAGTCTCTGGATCCCAACTCCAGCATCATCTTTCTGCCTCCTGCAAGTTGTGTGAAAAAGAGAAGACGGTTAATGATTTGGTTTCTGTAGTTTCAGGCCTTTCCTCTGGTTCCCAGGCTTCCAGTGAAGTACAGAATCCCTGGAACAGGCAGTTCAGATGTAATTTAGAAGCTTTTCAACTCTCCCTGATTCTGCCTGGGTTCTGCTCAATGCCACACACACAAACTGATTTATTGCATTCTATGGCACAGCACCTGTTTGGTGCCAGTACGTGCAGAAGTTGTTTCCCAAAGTCTCTGGTTTCTCTAAACCCTGCAGGAAGCCCAGCACAATGCACAGATAGGAAGGAAGAGCCCAGGCTGCTCAGAGCTTTGAGACCACAGACACCTTGTGCCTGTAGCAGGGGCTGCAGGATACGTGGTGCAGACAAAGTGCTTTTGGAGGCTGCTAGAGCCAGGAAGGTTGTGAGAAATGACTGTCTGTGAGTGAAGATCCTCTAGTGCTGTTCTGCCCAATAGAGAGACAAAACTGGAGACAAATGGCCTGGATTCACTTTCTGCTTTAGATCTTATTCAAGCAGCCACCTCCTCTCAGGGGCCTATTCCCTCATGTGTACTTGGGAGTGTTTCTCTGTCCTCCAGAGAATGCTGTGGTTTCTAAACATGAAAAGCATCTGCTGTCAGGAAAAACCTCCTGGAAGGGTAGAAACAAATAGAAATTGCAAATAGAAATGAATGCACTCCTGAGGCTGAAAAATGTGAGCTGCAGCAGAATCAGAAGGAGGTCTGTGTCTAGTTGAGGCTGTTTTTCCCTGTCTCCTGTTTCCATAGAAACCCAGTGATGTCCTGAGGCTGCAGTACCAGCCTTTGTCTTTAAAAAACACCTGCCTGCTGCCACTGGACCTCATGCTGGACTTGGAGCAGCCGTTCCAGGTCTGTGATGAGGAGAAGCAGCCCCTCCCAGTTGGCCAGGTGAGCAGCCCTGGACTCCCCCAGTGGGGTCTGGAGAGGAGGGATGTGGGTGTACCTTTCTCTTGGGAGCTCCTTGAGTCTAGAAGATAATTCTGTAGCATCAGCAGTGGGCTGGCCTGGGCTGCATCAGCAAAGCTGCTGAAAGAATCAAAATCTTATCTGAATTGTGAAGATCCATCCTGGCTTTAAGGCACAGGGAGAAGGGAGCAGGCAGCTTGGTCTGGGCAAGGCATGCAGTAAAGGTGTCTCCTGGAAAGCATGCCAGCTCTCCAGCAGCCACCCCCTTGGATTGGGGCTGAGCACAGCAACGGGAGCCTGAGGGATCCTGGACTGGAGTGTGGTGCCTGCAGTCAGACCCCTGCTGTAGAGAGATGAAGCATGAACTGAGGAGCCCATGCTGGGCTCACTTGGAGCATTTACTGTTTGCTGCTGCCAGGCCTTGGGACCTCATCCCACAGGTGATTAATTACTGCTCATCTCCTTGCAGCCTGTGAGAGTGGATGTAGGGGAGACCTGCCATCTCTACATCGTGTTTGACCCAGCTTATGAACTGGATTTTAAGAGCTGGAAAGAAGAAAAGGTTCTGAAGATAGACATGGTCAGGGGCCATCCTTTTGTGGAGCATATCAGCCTTCAGGGAGAAGTGCACTTCCCAAATCTCCAAATGCAGCCCAGCTCCCTGGAGTTTGGCTGCATCAGGGTTGGCACTGAAGAAGTGCGTTCCCTGGAGATGAGCAACTGCAGCCCACTGCCCGTCCAGTACCACTGGTCATTCCAGTCCGACAGCGAGGTGACCAGGTTTAGGTATGTGCACTTTGCCCTCCCCCTCAAGCTCTTCTTGCTGGAGTCCTGTTTGTACTTGGCAAACAACAAAGCTGTTTGCCTGGGGTCTGACAAATGACACTGAGCAGCTGTGTGCTCAGGCTGGATGCTCAGGGAATAGGTTTTCCACCAGTTTGATGCTGCATAGCCCCCAGAGTGGTTTCCTTTGGGAAGGAAAGCTGGGGTGAAAGCTGCTTTCTCAGACCTCTGTGGCCTGAGGCCATGTCCACCTTGATGAAGGGCTCCTAGTCCCAGCTTCCACAGTGCTGCTGGAGGCCTTTCTGGCCCCTCTGCTTTTGGATGGGTCCTCTCTGCAGGAGCTGCTCTCTGCTCCTTGCCTTCCTCCCTTGCATTGTGCTGGAGGATGCCCAGAAGGTCCCAAGACCAGAGAAAGAGCCACTTAGCACCAGGGATCATAGAGCTACAAGTTACTGCCGCTGGCCACTGAGGTTTGCTGTTATGTTATTTTCCAGACATGAGCTTTACCCACCTAAATTCAAACTTCAACCACCAAAGGGGAAGGCAACTTATTTGGATCACGCAGCATCTCGATGGAGACACTTCAAGATAAGACATGAGGAGACAGCCAGAATGCTGAAAACAATGCAGGATTTTAACCAATCTTTAAGAGACAAGGTAGATTTTCTTCTACTGCTTGTGTTTCCTCCCCAGCCTGCCACCATCAAGTCATGCTCGTGCTGACCTCCCTTTTTGCTGCCCTGCTGTCCTGTGCCCTGCCAGTGGGCTGGGCAGCAGGGCCAGTGGCTGGACATGGGCTGTGTGGGAGGGAGAAATAGGAGAGTTTTCCTTGGAGAAGCTCGCTCAGATCCAACAGACCTGTGTTGAGTGTGGGATTTTTTGCCTTTACAATGTAAGATGAGGCTTTTATCTGCATCATCATGGTAAGGCCTCCAGCTTCCTTCCCAGAGCCATCTGGGATGATCCTGATCTCCATGGAGCCTCTTCCCAAGGCAGCCAGACTCCTGTTTGCAGGGCTCTGCTTTCACCCAGAGCTGCTATTGCACTGCTGGCCCTGAAGCTCTTACAAACTGAGACTTTGCAAAGTGGCTGTCTCTTCCTCCTAGCATAGAAAATGGCTTGTTTTTCAGGTGCAAGCAGCACAAATTCCTGAATACCCTCGCCTCCAAGTGGGGTTTGAGGGAGTCAGTTGCTCCGTGGACGTACCGCAGACTTCCCTCGAAGCGCAGGAGGTAAGAGGGAATGTGTCTCACTTGCACACTGTCAGTGTGGCAAGCAGGGCTGCAGCTCCCAGTGCCACTGGTGTGTTGTAGTGTGTCATTAAGTTTTTTGTATTGCTCCCCCATTTGGTGTATTGTTTCCCCCCTTTTCCAATGTAAAATGGTTCTGCCCTCCCTAGTTTTCCCGCCTTAGCCCTCCTGACAGTTTTGTTGCTATGGTTACCCCTGCCCCTGGTTTTGTCAGTCAGTTAAGTTATGTAATTTCTCCTCCCGTATTTCTCCTTATAAGTAAACTTTTTCTCCTCCCTGGGCCCAGTCAATCACCCCCCACTCCTCCTAGTTTTCGAGAACCTTCTTCTCTCTGGGGGTTGTGGTTGGCTGTGGTCCCGGGGCCCCTCCTTTACTCTGTATTTATTGGATGTTTCTGTATGCCCATCATGTTAAGTTCCTCCTTATACCCTTCCCTATTGGTCTGCTGTGAATCCCTCCCTTATCCACCCCCTGTCTTTAAAACCCTGTCTCTCCTGGCCCTCGGGGCCATTTTGCTGGTTGGTGTCCTTCCTGGTTGGTGCCTCCATGACATCGAATAAACCGACCTTCACCCCCAGCAAGGTGTCCGACTCCTTTTCTCGTCCCGTCAGCGCCGTGAGTTCCAGTCCGCAATCCAGCCCAGCCTGAGGCCAAGACGCCAAAGGGGGTTGGCTTTCCATGCAGCTGGGGTGTCGGCCACAGACCATCAGCTCGCCGGACTTTGCCTTAGTGGCCGCTTACGCACCGCTGCACTGGTGGCCCTCAGCATTGGCCACAGAGGGGCCTCCCATCCCTGCAGGCCCATCACAAAGTGCTGCTGGAGCAGCTGGTAGTTGGAGAGGCTGTGCAGGACACCTTGTAGGGCTGCCCAAGGACACTTTGCAGCACCTATGGAGGGCCCTGCTCTCCCTGGAACTCCTCAGGTGGCCCATAGGAAATTTTTGCAGGAGCTTTTGCTGTAGCACCTTGAGAAAGCAGCATTTAAATCAGAGAGAGGGGAAGAGCCGCAGGAGTCAGATGAGCTGGGCTGGAGTCCTTTGCTCAGCTCCAAGAGCTCTTACTCTGCGTCTCCTCCTTTTCTAAAAGCAGTAAGAAATGCTTTTTAAAGGCAAGTTGTGCATCAGAGAGAATTTCTACTGCCAGGAGACATCCCAGTTCACTTTCCTGTAATGTACTAATTAATGCATTGATCTGTGAGTATGGGAGAAGATTTTCCCCATGGTCCCTCCACTGGTCAGTGGCAGGGATGCAGGATGAGATGAGGGTGATTCTGGCAGTGTTTGGGGAATAGGCCCCTCCAGGTACAGCTGCACTTTGCTCCAAGATGCTCTTCTGCATCCATTGCCATGCTCAACAGCTCAATCTCTCCTGTCTTCCATCCAGGCTTTCAGTATCCTGCCAGTGTCAGGTGTGCTGCAGCCAGGAGAGAGCCAGCAGGTCTCCTTCACCTTCTGTGGCCACCTCAACACCATCGCCGATGTCACGGCGCTGTGCCACGTGGAGGGAGGCCCCACCTACGAGGTGCTGGTGACCGGGGAGATCTCACATCTCAGCTACCTCGTGAGGCCCCAGGAGATCAACTGTGGCTTACAGGTACCACACACATCCCTGGCACAGCTCCTTGCCTTGGCACCACGGCCAGCGGGTTCCTGCCCACCTCGCTCCAGGGCTCCCTGCCCTTCCCAGCCCCTTTGTTGGCTCTGGGGCTTGGAAGTCCAACCTTTGAGGGACACATCTGGCATCCAAGCTGCTGTAAAATGGCCATCTCCAACCCTCTCCACAATGCTGGGAATGCCTCTTTTTCAGGGCACCTAACACTGCCTCCTGGGGCAGGCAGGGGCCCAGTGGGGATGCTCTGAGGGGTGTGTCCCTGAGACATCCCTCTGCTGGTCCACTCCTAAAGCCTGACCTCCAAGGAGATGCTCTTGTCTAAAGCTCTTGCTTAATCCACACAATGATCAAGGAAAGAAGTTGGGCTTCCAGTCACTACAGTTGGAGAGACTGTCCCAGAATAATCCCCACTTCACTCTCTTCCAGTCAAAAGCCCACAGATATTCCCAGCTGCTGGCTCTGTCTGTGTTGCCCTGGGTGACTCCCTTGTTGCATCCATGTTGCTTGCCAGTACTTGCATGCAGGTGCCTTTTCTCCTGGAATGCCTCAGTGCTGTCTCTGTTTCTCCTGGCTGTTGGTGACCCCTCAGAGGGCAGAGGAGGGCCTGTGTCCCCTGGTTCATTTATTGCTGGCCCTCACGTGGTTGTTACCACAGCTCTGTGTGCTGCCAGAGCTCCCTGGTGCTGTGCAGGTGCCCTGTGCCTGGGCGTTCCCCAGGTTCCCAAGTGCCCCTATCTCCTCTCTGGTCCCTGCTCCCATGATGTGTCGGCTTTCAAACCCAGGAGGGAGAAAGGAGATTCTCAGCAGCAGGCCCAGGTCTGTAACTTCCCTCTCCTGTGCCTTCTCTCCAGATGTTTAATGAAATTCGTCACAGCAATGTCACCCTGGTGAATGGTGGCAAGATTGAACTCAACTGGGTGCTAAACCCCAGCCCTGCAGATAAGCGTCTGCCTGGTGTGTTTCTGGTCAACCCCACCACTGTAAGTAGCACAAGTGACTGAGCCCAGCCCTGTGTCAGGAGAGTGTGAAAGGGAAAAAGAAAGGGGGGAGGTGGGGAAGGGGGAAAAAAGTCAGAGGGGAAGAGCCCAAACCCAGCCATGAGAGAGACAGGGCTGTAAGCAATTTCTGCTGGGGCCAGAGAAGGTCAAACAAGTGCTCTCCTGACAGACTCCCCCAGGGCCTTGGCTGGTGGGTGGCTCTGCTGTCAGAGGCGACACCGGCGGGAGGCACAGGTGTGTGGGTCACTGTCCTGTCCTGCTGTAAGGGGAGCAGAGGAGAATTCTTTTTGATAGATTTCTCAGATGAAAATAAGGCACAAACGCAGCAAGTGTTGTATCTGAAAACTGTTTGTTGATAAAGAAAGGGCATGGTCCCGACCAGAGGGGGGACAGAAAAGAGAGAAAATGAGAAATGGAGAGAGCAACAGTGGACAGGGACAGAGCGTCACCGCTAGAGCCCTGAGGCGCTGTGTCAGCTCCTGCTCAGCAGATGGAGCGTGTGCAGTTTTCCTAGTCCTGGTCATTTGTAACTTTTCAACACATTCAACAGGTTTCCATTCCTTCATTGGTTAAATGTTAATATTGCAACAACTCTTCACCAACATTGCTAACACAACACAACATTCTCATTAAAAGAGCTGTAAACTTTAGCAAAACTTCTTTTACAAAAGTCATCATTATAAAACACATCATATTTACTCTAACAATTGTGAAAGCCAATACTGTAATATATTTATCATGAAGGTGATGTGGTCTGATGGTTTCTTCTAGATGAGAACCTGTCTCCTCAGCCTATCTGTCCCCCGAGCCATCCCCCATCAAACACTCTGATGCATTCCCTCCCTCTTCTCCCGTCCCTGCAGGGTTCCCTTGCACCTGGCAAGAAGCAAGTGCTGAAATTCTCTTACATGCCAGGATTACCAGGAGCCTTCAGCAGGACTTACCAGCTTAAAGTGGGTGACCTGGAACCAGAAAATATCTGCCTGAAAGGAGAAGCATCCTTTCCCATGATCAGTCTGGACCTGCCCTGGAACATCAGAGGTGGGCACTGCCTGTCTGCCCCCAGGAAGGGCCCCTCTGGTTTTGTTCCCTACCGTGTGCCCATAGGGCAGCTCATGGCAACCTCCACCGAGCCTGGAGGGTTGCAGGACTCCCAGATCAAGTCAAGCCCCCTGGTTGCTTCATGAGTCTTGAGCAGAGGATCCCATGTGGACTTTGTCCCAGGAACCAACCTGCAGAGCCTGCCAGCTCATCTGGCAGGGTCCTGAAGGACGATGGCTAGAGTGAAAGGCTTGGGGAAGCTGTAAGAGAGGCTGGCAGGGCTTCTGGCAGGGTTGGATCTGTGTGACATTGCAGGGGATGAGATTCAGAGAGGAGCAGCAGCATCCACTTTCCATGGATGTCTTGAGGGATTTCTTTCTGGAAGAAACCAGTGTTGAGAGGCGGGGACTTCCCAGCTTAAATGGGACTGGCACTTTGCTCACCCTTCTCTTTGTGGATGCTTTCTTCCTTCAGGAAATGAAAAATATGAGAAGACACTGAAACGGCTCGTAAAACGCCGGCAAATATTCGATCCCAGCTATAAATCAGTTGTTCTGAAGAAGCCTCAGAGCCCAAAGACTGAGACCTTGAAGACTCGGGACCTGCAGCCCAGCGTGCTTGCCTCTGGCACTGTAGTAAGAACAGCTGCAGCCCCGTTTGGCACAGGCCACCCTCTCCATGTCACCTGAGCCCCTTGCAGCCCACAGCAGCTTCCTGGTGCCCTGATGACACTTGGGACCTCCCTGCCCACTGACAACCTTGTGTCACCTCAGCATTGCCCCTAGGGCTGCCACGCTGGTCATGGTCTCCTCTGGGGCTGCACCAGCTTCCTGGCTGCCCCAGGGAGAGATGCTGAAGGCCATGCTCCAGGGATGGAGTTGATGGTGCTTTGAAGGAGATGCAGGTCATTGCTGGGGAGTTCATTGTTCCCAACCCTTGCCCTGCCAGATTTACAGACCTTAACAGCAGCTGCCAGATTGTGCCCTGGGGCTGTGCTGGAGGTGCTCATCTCCACGAGGCACCAGCTTGGTGCCAGTTCCCTTTCGAGACAGCTTCTGTCCAAGCTGCCTTGGTACAGGCTGGGGGCAGGCAAGTATCTGGAGCTCTGGAAGGTTCCTGGCTTGTCGGTCTGCCTGGCCAGATCAGCTTTGCTAACAGTGTCTGGGCAGGCAAAGATGCTGGAGTTACTTCCCTGGAGATGAGGTCCTGGCTAAGAGAGCAGGAGGTGTCACAGGCACTGAGCAGCCAGACAGGAGGACCCCACACCCCCTCCCAACAAGAGTGGGCTGGGGTCATTTCTCAGGTGCAAGCTGGGCTTTGGGAAGGACCTTTGCTAACCAGCCACTGTCTTCCCTTTCTTCAGTCAGACACTCAGCTGCAGATAAAGATGATCAGGATGCTGATAGAGAAGGCTGCTTTGGAGCTGCAGCAAATTCTTCCATCCCATCCCCTGAAGAGCAGGTTCCCTGACAAGGAGCTGTGCCAGAGTCTTGTCAAGTGAGTAGGGACTCCCACCCCATCTCCAGGTGCCCCTGGGTGGGAACACCCAGCCATGTCCCCTTCTCCTGAGAGCTCCCTGTGTCTGCAGAGCTGGGAACAGCCTGGACTCCAGAAAGGCTCTGGTCCTGGTGGCTGTGACACGCTGCATGTGAGCAGCAGAGTGTCCTCCCTTCCCCAGCACCACGCTGAGCTTTGCACTGCTCAGCTCCCCACAGGTGTGGGGTTCTGTCCCTAGAGCTGGGGGACCCAGTGCAGACCTTCTAGCCCTTCCAGACAGCATAGATTCTGTCCCTGCTGCCTAGCTCTGAAAGAGACAACTCCCAGCTGAGGTCTTGCTTCCAACTAACAGCTGGGCAGCTGTGACACTGAACAAAAGGAGAAGGGAACTGCACGTGTCAGCAAACCCTTTAAAACCTAACATCAGATGATTTGGATCCTGGTGGGGTGGCAGGGCTTATCTAGGTGACTTGGCCTGTCCCTTTGCACCATCATGATGCAGCACAAGCACGGGGGCTTCAATTCAGGAAGGAGATGCTCTGCAGAGCAGCTCATGTGGTCTGGTTGCAGAGCAATGAAGATTTCCTGTGCAGGCAAACCTTATTCCTAGACTCCAAAGCAATTTCAGGCTCAGGCTGTACACCAGGCTAGGCAGTTCCACTGAGAGCAGTGGAGGCCCAGTGGACTCACCTAGAATGGCTTTTCATGGCAGACGAACTGTGGCCAGTGTCCATTTTAAACTAATTTTATTTTCAGGTACCATTAGTAGCTGATCAAACCTAGGACCTGCACTCCTCCTGACTTCCCAAAGTTATTGCCAGGTGGTCAGGCCATGGGTTTCATGGGCTTGAGCTGAGTTTTGACAGCAGTGAATAGAGAAATAGCCACTTTATTTGTATCCTCCATCCACTTGGATGTGTAGCCAGGCTGTGGTTTAAGGACTGTCCTTATTCCTTGCAGAGTTGAGCTGCTCGAGTATGTCCTGGATATGGGCCCTGTCCTTAAGGGTTACACTGAGTCACACTCTCTGAAGATCACCAACCCTGGGCAGATCCATGTGTCCTTCCAGGTCGATGTATCTGTCCTGCAGGACACAGGTAAGCAGTGCTGGAGACACTTCCTGTGCCCTTGAAGGAGGTGTCTCAGACAGATTAGCTTAAGCCCCTGAACCTGGGGAGGTTTCTGAGCTTTTTCTTCTCAGTGCCCCTGCTGGGAGCTGTAGAGGCAGAACTCTCCTGGCCAGCCATGCCCAGGGACCTGGCCTGCCTGTGACTGCCCTAACGCTTCAGTGCAGGGGCCAATGGTGACCATCACCCTGGTCACCTCTCAGCATCTTCCACCCTTGGCTCCCACAAGCAGCAAGTTTCTTTGGACACTCTGTGGGCTTGTTTTGCCAACCAGTGGGGTCTGCTGTATTTTGGAAGTGCTTTGTTTGGAGTTCACACAGGTTCCCAGCACCTGTATTCAGCCTTTACTGAGGAAGCAGCCTGTGAGATCCTCTGGTGGATCAAAAGAGGTTTCCAAAAGAGGCCTTGAGGCAAGGCTGCCCTTCCATCACACAGTGGCTCGCTGTGTCTGAAGGGTGTTCAGGTGCACTCTTAAGATTTTGTCCAGGTCACAGCACAGCGTGGGGCTTTTGCCACACCTCTCAGCCAGGACACCTGTAAGGCCTAAATGCTTGTACACATTTTGTGTTTTGTGTGTATCTCAGCGGCTTTGTGTTCATCTGTTCAAGGTTTCAGTGTGAGCCTGGACCAGATGATTTGCCTGCCCCCCAACAACAGCGTGGACTTCGACGTGCGCTTTGAAAGTGCCCACAAGCCGTATGGTGACGTGGAAGTGGTGCTGCCCATAGAGGTACCACAGCTCTTGGGGCAGGCAGCAGGCTGGGCACAGCAGCAGATGTCACCTGCACTGTCACATTGCTCTGCTGAATTCTCTGTCCTTCTCCAGGTGATAGAAGGCCCTATGTACAGCATCCGCATCCGTGCCACTGTGTTGGAACTGTCACTCACCCTCTCCAAGAACAGATTGCAGTTCTCTGACATCGTTGTTGGGGACTGCCAGGTTAATACCATCCGACTCTTCAACTGGTTCCGAGTACCCTGCAAATGGTTCATTGCTTCCAACAAGCCTGCTCTGAGGGTAAAGCACAGGCGACATTGAACACAGAACTTGGTTGGGTTTTCTTTGTGACTCTTGCCCTTTCTGCTCTGTGGCTGCTTGAGCACTTGGGTCTACAGTGTGTTTGAGGAAACTTCTGAGGGTCTAGATCAAGGCTGGTTTGCCTTAACCTGTTCCATTAGCTGATGCTTTGCTTTGCTGCCATCTTCACCCATTCCTCCTCCTCCTCTGAGGACACTAGTTCCCTATCTGCCTGCCCTGTCTACAGGGCTTCCCTCCAGCTCTGGGCTTTGGGGCCACACTTGGTTTGGCTGTGGGTGCTCTCAGCACCGTGTCAGTGTCTCAGAACATGAGGAGACCTCACATTATTGATTTCTGTGCCCAGAACAATCAGCACGAGCCCTGTCCCTTTGACGTGACGCCCTCCAAAGGAACCCTTGATCCAGGAAAGTGGCAGAACTTGCATATCCAGTTTACACCTGAGGAGGAGGTGAGATTGGCGGGTGTCAGCCCAGGAGGCCTGTCAGGGCTATCTGGAAATGAGGGCCTGGTGCAGAGAGTGTGGTAGGAGCTCTGCCTTCACAGGGAGCTTTCTGCAAACCCCGTACTCAGCGTGGCTCAGTTCACCCCACAGAGCACTCCCGTGAGATGTGCTTTGAAATGCCCACAGGGAGCTTGCACAGAGAGCACCAGGGCTCTGAGGCTGCCTCTTGGCACATGGGGGGGATGTGCCCAACTCCCCTCAGCCTGCCCCTTGCCTGGCTGTATTTGCAGCTGTGACACTCAGTGCAGAGCAGCTGCCCACTCACAGAGGATAATCCTGGAATGGCTCATCCTGCTGCAGGACTGACAGACCAAACAGCCACCACCCACCTTCCTGGGCACGGCAGGACAGTCACCTGTAGTGGGGTGCTGCCAGCAGTCCCTGGGGCTCTGGCCTGCCTGCACATTCCTGTGCAGCTGGGGATTCAGCTCAAAGGACAAAGCATTCCCAAAAGTGGTTTGCCTGTGGCTGCTGGGTCTTGGAAAGTGGCAGTGTGTACCAGCATGGACACAAGTGCTTCTGTGCCCACACACACTCCCAGGGATCTTTTAATTGCTCAAGAAATGTAACCATCTTGTGTCTGGCTTGGACCAGAGCCAAACACTAAGCAGAGAAGATGACCCTTATTTCTGGCCAGCAAGAGCTCATTTGCCTCTCTCCTGGAGCTGGTGTTTGCCTGATGCAGCAGTGCCAGGACTGTGTCTGGACACTGTAACCCTGAGGGCCTTTCCCATGAGCACTGCACTCCTGCATGACTAGGTGAAAATGTCTGACAGTCCACTGTAGATCCATCTGATACCCAGTTACAGTGCACACCAGCATTCATCCCAGTTACTCAGACCCAGACTACTACAGATGCTCTAGTCCCTAGCATAAGTAAATATCTGGTTTCCATTCACCTTGGAGGGACTGATAACACCAAGCATTGCTGTATTTGGGGTCTTGTCATCTGAGACTTCATGGATGAGTTTTCTGCGCTTTCCTCTTTTCAGAGGTCTTACAAGAATGAGCTGGAGCTTATCATTTGTGGGAGCAGCAATCGCTTAAAGCTGCACCTCTCAGGACAAGGTCTGGAGCCACGGTTGGAGTTCAGGCCCCCAGCACTAAAGATGGGATGGATGCTGGTGGACAGCGATGGGGTGGAGGCCACAGTGGTGGTGAAGAACCCATGCAACTTCCCCATTGAGTTTTACTCCCTGGATTTTGATGAGCAGTACCTTGAGGAGGAGAAGGTGAGAAGTCTGGTCCCCATGTACACGCTGCCCAAGCTTCACAGCACTCCAGCATTCCCAGGCTTGTGCCAGGGAGATGGAGGCAATCCTCAGGGCAAAGCCAGCTCTGCTGACATGCTGTGGGAGGACCTAAACTAAATAGTTTGTGTTGTTGGGAGGAAGGGAGGAGACAGAAAATGGGTTTGTTGAGTCTGTGTGATGAAAGGCAAGAAAAGGAATCTTGTGTATGGCTTCTCTTCCCTCCACACACAGATCCTGCGGATGGCAGTGGGGTCTGAGTACCAAAAGAGCTTTTTTCTGCCTCCACGTGCCGTGGGTGAGACACTGCCTCCAGAGGTGCTGCAGGACCATGGAGCACAGTGGAGGCCAAAGGCTCAAGAGGCAGAGCTCAAGGCCAGGGCTGAGGCTGAGGCCAAGGCCATGGGCAAGGCAGCAGCAGGTCAGAAAACAGTGAGGGTTTGGTGGTGTCTGTTTTGCCTGTGGTCACAGCAGGGACTCCAGCCCATACACCCTGAACTCTCTGTCACCTTGCTCTCCAGGGAAAGCCCGTGCTTTTAGCAGCTGCCTGTTCCCCAGCTTGGTGGAGGAACTCTTGGCTGAAGGGCTGTGGCATCCTCTTCCAATCCTGAGTGCAGCCAAAGCAAGCTCCTATCTGCCTGCCATAGACTGGGGAAATAATCAGGATATTTCCTTGTGTCCCTTAGCCACAAAGACTAGGGCTGGATGAGTTCCTCAGCCAAAAGGACCAGGTCTAATATCACTGGCTCTTTTATATTTGCACCTTCCTAGCTGCAAAAGAACAATCTCATCTTTCTTTCACCGAGTCTCATTTCCTGGGATCTGAGGGGATGGGGAGGATGGTGAGGATCAAAGGTAGGCAGGAGGCTGACTTTTCCTCCTGGTTTTGCACTGCAGCACATCACAGAGCTGTCCCATTCTGTCCTGAGTCCATGGTGAAAGAGGCTGGGAATCCTGTCTCTCGGGCTGTCCTGCGCCACCTGGGCATTGACCCGGACTCAAGGAGGTGCGAGGCGCAGCCCCACCAAGGAGGGATGGTTGTCATCATCCATGGGCCGCCCCGGGCAGGTACGTGAGCTGCAGCCCAGGGCTGCAGGGAGAGGGACAAGCAGGGGGAACACGTCCTGGTGGGCCACGGTGCTTAAGGCAAGTCCTCAGCTGAACGGGAGGTGGAGATGATCCACTTGGCTCTAGAATTCAGAGTTTGCATCCACGCTGCAGCTGCCTCCCTCATGGCCTCCCCTGGAGCGACACTTGCTTTCCCACTGTCATTTTAACTTTGAAATTTGTTGGAGGTTTTCCAGGGCCTGTCCCTGCAATGCCTCCTGTGCCAGTGTCACCAAGCAGTCCTCCTCTCTCTCTCAGGAAAGACAGAGATAGCAGCAGGCCTGTGTCAGTATTACGACGCTGCTTACGTGTCCATCGACACCGTGGTGAAAGAGGCCATGGCCAAGGACGGGAGCCCAGCGGGGCTCCGTGCCCGGGAGCTCTGCACCCAGGCTGCCCTGGAGCTGGAAGGCAAAGACGAAGGTGATGCTGGTAAGGAGAAATGCTGGTAAGGACCCAGGGCCAGTACTTGAGAAACCCACCACCACTGTCCACTTCTGCTTACTCAGAGCAGCAGTTTTTCAGTCCTTGGGTTTCTCTTAGGGAACACGGGTGAAGTGCATCACTGGCTTGCCAAAAAAATGAAATCAATTTTAAGGGCTCAGAAAAAGGTTCTTTTATAGCCCCCTTTGCTGCCTTTCTTGCACATGTTCATTTTTCTAGGGGTACCAACTGCCCAGGAAGTTTCATAGAAGCCTCCAGTCTCACATGGAGAACAGCCCAACGAGCTGTGTAACCTGGCAGTGGGCATAGGTAAATCTCTGGAGAAAAGAGCTCATCTAGGGCTGGTAAAGCATGCCTTTCTCTTTCCCAACTATTTTATATTTCCTCAAAGCTGAATTGAGCCTTCTTCTTATGAAGGCTGAACAAGGAAAAAGCCTTCTGAAGTGGCTCATTGAGCACAAGAGGACTGACTATGCATGTAACCTTGCAAACGAGAGGAAGGGAAGGACAGCCTCCCAGAGGAATTTCCAATGAGAGACATGCTCCAGATGAGCTCTTTTCTCCAGAGAGTTACCTATGGCCATTGTCAGGTTACAGCTCGTTGGGCTGTTCTCCATGTGAGACTGGAGACTTTTATGAAACTTCCTGGGCAGTTGGTGCCCTGAGCTCTGCAGGGTGAGGCCAGACCTGGCTCGGTGCAGGGGGAAGTTTTGCAGTGCTCAGTTTTGAACCTGGCTGGGTTGGGAGCTGGTGGAAGGAAGAAGAGTCTGGGTCCCAGCTGGGCTTTTCCCACAAGGAGGATTTAGCTTCAGTGGAGATGGGTGATGCAAGTGTGGCAGGGCTGCAGGTCTCCACATGGGAATGCAGGATGGGTGCAGTGTATGGAAACAATGCTCCTGGAGGACAAATCTCTGGCTTGATCTGCAGGTGAACTGCTGTGTGAGCAGCGTCACCTGCATGCACAGTTGTTAGGAGGGACATAGTGCTGGCTTTAAAATCAAGTATGGGACGGTGTGCTTTACCATGTTGGTAAGAGAAGCAGGGAAGGAGCTGCTTCTGGGAAACAGTGCTGCCAGTGCCCAGCAGACTGGGGAAAAGAGCCATGTTCCTTCCCAAGGCTGTGCCCATTGCAGTCAAAGGTGCCTGCTTGCTTTACAAAGCCCCCCTGAACCATCTGTTCCCTGTACAGATAAAACATCTCAGACCAAGAATAAACGAGCCTCTGGGGAAAAAATCAACAAGAATGTCAAAGAAAAGACCCCTCCATCACAAAAGAAGGAGTCAGCCAGCAAACTTGGTAAACATGACATCAAGGTAAACATGATCTGCCCTGGTTGATGCCTGGGACCTTTGCATTGTCTTTGAGATGGGCAGGGGCCGCTTGCATTGTAGGCTCTGTGGGTCTGTGTGCCATGACTTGGGCTGGGAATGTGCTCTGGCAGACAGCTCCACTGGCTCTCAGTGGTTTGCTGGCAAAGTGCAGTCCTGGCTAGTGTGGCTGCAGGCAGTGAGCAAAGTGCTGGGAGGCTGCACTGGGGCTTGCAAGGTTGGGTCTCTGCTGGCCAAGGGATGGGCCCTCCAGAACCGTCCCCTGGAGCCCCCAGCCTGCACTGCAGGGTTGTTCTAGTCTCCATTAGTGAGGAACCCCAGCTCCAAGCCCAGCAGTGGGAGTTGTTCAGGGCTTTCCACCGTGGTTTCTTTTCCTTACAATGGTTCCCATTGCAGTTCACAGTTTCCACTGCTCCTGCGCCCCAGCAGCTGAACATCGTCAGCAGTCGTGGGGAAGAGCTGAACTGCTTGAGCTGTGTGCTGCCCGAGGAGCTGCTGGTGGACATCCTCAGTGAGAGGCTGCAGGTGTGTGGGGTGGGGGAAAAGGAGACATTCCTGCTCCGGAGAGAAGGCACTGAGGTACGACTCAGAGAGGAGGAGGAGGAGGAGCAGCTCTGTACATGCTGCTCGAGGATCCTGGGCTGTGTGCAGGGAACCCTGGGGGAAGCTGCAGCTGCCCTTAGTTGGCAGAGCCTAAGGACAGGTCCCAGCTGCTCTTAGCTACTGCACTTGGAACAAGGATAGCTGGTGCCCTGGGACATCTGGGATCACTGTCCAGCTGTGAGGCCCCTGCGTGCAATGGCTGACTTACTCTTCCCTTTATTCACAGCGTAAAGACTGCTCCAAGGGAGTGATCTTTGATGGCTTGGAGAGCCTCTTTGCAAGCAGCCTGGAATCTTCCCTACTCTGTGTACTCAAAGCTGTCAAGAATCGTTGTCATATCTTCATGGTGAACCTGCATGAGGATTATGATTCTTGGAAAGCCAGGGAGGAAGCTGAAAGAAAGAGGAAGGAAGCTGAAACAGAGAAGGAAGGTGAAATATCTCCATCCCTCTCAAATCTTTTCTCTCAAGCCCTCACCCTTATCTCTGTGTATCTGGCTTTGCAGCAGAGCTTGTAAGAAATGTTTTTATTAATCTTTCCGCCTTCTGCCTCAGTGTAGCCAGCACTCATCTCAGAGTTGCAGGAGATCTGAGGTTTTAAGACTCACCTTAATCTCTAACATTAAAGCTTGGGCACAAGTGCCAGCTGCTATAGCTCAGTGACAAACAACTGTCCTCAGCCTTGGTGCACTTAAGGCAGGCAAAGCACAGCACCTCACTGCCCGGCCATAGCTTGGGAGATTGATTTCTGGAGCAGGCATATGAGCTCCCCAATATCTCCTGGGATGATAGGCTGGGTCAGGAAAAGCTGTGAATCCTTGCAGCTGCCCCAGAGCACCCAGCTCTGCTTGCAGTCACTCATGGTTTCTCCTCTGGTTTGTGCTAAAGAAATGCAGCGGGAAAAAGCTCTGCAGAGGAAAGCAGAACGTATCTTGCAAATAGATGAGGATGAGTATGATGCTCTCCCTAAGGAGAAGAAAGCAGAAATGGATAAAATAATCCTGGAAAGGAAGCGCATACGGAGGAAAAAGTGAGTAAGCCTTCCATGGGTTACTGCTCTTCCATGGGTTATCGTCCCTGGAGGGCTTCCCTGCTCCAAGGACTCTGAGCTCAGAGGTGCTGCAGAGCAAAGGCCAGAAGCAGCACAGGGATGGCCACTCTGAGCTCCCTGGCTCCCAAGAGAGGAAGGACCTTCTTCTGTTGAGACAGAAGATCTTCTTCTCTATTTGAGTGGTGAGCCCTCCTGCCTTAGATGCTGCCTGCAGGGAACTGGGCTCTGGGCTTGCCTTGGCACTGCCTCTAGAGGTGTCTTTAGGTCCATGGTGTTGAGTTGCACCTTCTTCATCATGTCCCTTCACCAAAACAGTGGGATTGTGGTATGGGCAGGTGTGGGGCACAGAGCAAACCTTGCTTTGGGTCCTGGTCCTGCCCCAGCATTGCAAGTCCTTGCAATGCTGATCTGCCAGGGTTCTCCTTATGGTGGGACAGCACCCATGAAAGCTCATGTCCTTTAGGCTCCCCTTCAGCTGCAGCAGTAGGCAAGCCCAGAAGAAGCTCTGCTCCAGCAAGGCAGCCCAGCTCAGGACACATAGGCAAATTGTGGAGATGGGAGTGTGTGGTGGTTTGACCGGAAATAGGATTTCTGGGATGCTGTGGTCACCAATAGGTGCTCAGATTCTAATATTGGCGCCTGATGTGGCCATTGGGACATTGGATCCGCCTCTGAGAACACAGGGTTAAAAGCAGGGCTCCCCCCTGGAAGGTTCTCTTTGGATTTCAGGCGGGAGAGAGTTTGATCTCTCCCTCAGCCCAGCTGCTGGCTGTGCAGGGAAGGGGAAGGCCACGCGGCCTGGGAGAGGTGGGCCTGACCCTGAGGGGCCCAAGGGTGGAAGCATGGAAGAACTACTGAGAGGTATTCCCCTCCACACACTTCTGGGAGGCAGAGAGAGAAACAGAGCCGTGCCTGACAGTTACCCTGAAACTTGATAAACATGTGTGGCAGCACGGCTGAGAAGGAGGAAAGGCGAGGGAGGAGCCAGCGATGTGTCCAGCTGCTTGTGGGAGCTTCTAACCCCTTTGTGGACAATGAAAACTTTACAGAACATTAACCCTTCCTAGAAGAGTGATGAAGGTCTGGGCAGAGAGAGAGATGTTGGAAGAATGGAGAAGATGTAGTGGCATTTTTTGCTGGACTCTTTTTTTTGTATAGCCATGGACTGTTTCCTTGTGATACAGAGACTGCTTCCAGGGGGGGCAATGCCTCAGAACCAGGAGGGATCAGTGTGGGTACCCCTCGGCACCAGGGGGTGCAAAAAACATGGGGGGCACAGATGTCCCTAAGTTGAGACTGTGCCTTTTTGGAAAGAGACAAGGCATCCTTAAAAGGAACCCCAGAAGCAGCCCTGGTCCATGCACAGTGGTGAGAGCACTGGGCATGGAAGGAAGATGTCATGATGGCAAAGGATCTCCGGGCGGTGCCACGTGTGACAAGAAGTCCATGGCACAAAGAAGGACTCCTTCTCATCTTGATGAACTGCGGATTGAGTATTCTAAAGGGTGGTGCCAGACCAAGAGTTGGTGATTTGGGGGAATGTATCGTATTGGAATTTGGTGGGGGGAGGAGGAAAATGTTGGCCTCAGGCTCAAGGAATGAAGTGCAGGGCCAGCCAGGACTGGTGACTCTCAGCGATATTTTCTGTTTTGTTTGCTGAAGGGAGCTGAAGCGGCTGGCTCAAAAGCTTCAGGAGGAGGCAAAAGCCTTAGAGAGGCGGAAGGAGGAAAAGAAGGGTGTCTCCGTGCAGAAGCAACCTCCAAAACCAGCGAAGGAAGAAACCAGATCACCTGAGGGGAAGGAAGCCCCAGAGAAGGGGGAAACCAAAGCCCCTGAGACCGGAGAAACCAAAGCCCCAGAGAAATGGGAAACCAAAGCTGCAGGGATGGGGGAAACCGAAATTCCAGAGGACCCAGCTGAGATGGAGAACTTGATCCTGAGGTTTCAGATTTATGATTCATCACAGCAGAATGTTGCACAGGTTTTCTCCTGCTGGGACAGGGTTCAGGGTACCGTGCAGTTACCTGTGATCCAAAAGGGAAAGTCTCCAGCTGAAAACAAAGGTCAGAAGACCAATAAGCCTCAGGAGAAGGTGGAGAAGAAGCCTGAACAAAAAAGTGGAGACCAAAGGAGTCTTCAGTCATCTCAGCTGGGGACGCGAAGCGAAGCTGCCGAAGGAGCAGTCGGAGACGAGCACATTGGGGTGCCGTGCCTGGACATTGAGGTCTCAGATCCAAAGGCCATGATTGGGCAGATCCTGAGGGATGGGAAGCTGCCAACGGAAGACCAGGTAAAACCTTGCAAGGCTCAGATCTTGAGCTTGCTGTGGTCTTGGGCCCCGGAGCATTGCGTTCCCCCAGGTGATAATGGCACAGAGCCATGTCCAGGTCCCTGATGGTATTCCACAAAGACTCTATCATCCGTGTGGATGGGGAGGTTGTCACCATCCCTCAGATGGGCAGGAAGTGGGAGGGCTCTGTGTACAAGTATCCCATCTGTTCAGAGTTTCCCATCCCGGAAATCATAAACCCTCCCAGGACATGGCCATTGTTTTCTTCAGCTGAGTCACTCTCCCAGTCCTGCTTGTAGCTCTTGTGTCTGCTCTGGAGCCTGCTCACCCCACTGGGCATAACAAAGCACTCGTATTTCGTGTAAATTAAAAACCCCATTGCCAAAAGCTCAGTGCCTTAAAAGAAGGAGTTGTGAGGATGAAGGTGGCAGAAATATAAACAGGATTTTCTCTTCTGTTTTAGCTGCTGAAACATCTGGGACTGCATCCTGATGGCCCCCCCCTTCCCCCTGCTGCTGTGCTCTCCATAGTCGAGTACCCAGAGGAGAGACTGGGCTCTGCAGAGCGTGTGGAGCCCTTCAGCATTGTGGCACCAGAAGGTGCTGCTATAGAAGAGGATCTGGTGGGTGCTCCAGTGGTGCTGGCACTGAAGGTGCCAGGGCAGGGACCAGGCTAGACGGGGACAGGCGGGACAGGTTGAATGGAAAGGGAGCATTGTGGAGCGGCAGTGAAGATGTGATGGGGTCCCTTGTCTGCAGGTCTCCTTTCTGTCAGGGATCACAGAATCACAGAAATTCAAGGCTGGAAGAGACCTATAAGATGATCAAGTCCAACCCATGTTCTAACTATTCAACTAGATCATGGCAGCAAGTGCCACATCCAGTCTTTTTTTGAACTCCTCGAGGGATGATGACTCCACCACCTCACTGGGTAGATGATTCCAGTATCTGACCACTCTTTCTGTAAAATACTTCCTTCTTAATTCTAACTTGCATCTCCCTTGACACAGCTTGAGACTGTGTCCTCTTGTTCTATCTGTTGTTGCCCGGAGAAAGAGACCGACCCCCAACTCACCACAGCCACCCTTCAGGAAGTTGTAGAGAGTGATGAGGTCGCCCCTTAGTCTCCTTTTCTCCAGGCTAAACAACCCCAGCTCCCTCAGTCGTTCTTCATATGGCTTGTGCTCCAAGCCCCTTACCAGCCTCGTTGCCCTCCTCTGGACACGCTCAAGCATCTCAACGTCCCTCCTAAAGTGAGGGGCCCAGAACTGGATGCAATACTCCAAGTGAGGCCTCACCAGTGCCGAGTACAGGGGAAGAATGACCTCCCTGCTCCTGCTGGCCACACCGTTCCTGATACTGGCCAGGATGCCATTGGCCCTCTTGGCCACCTGGGCACACTGCTGGCTCATGTTCAATCGACTGTCAACCAGCACCCCCAGGTCCCTTTCCACCTGAGCACTGTCCAGCCACACCGTCCCCAGCTTATATCGGTGCAGGGGGTTATTGTGGCCGAAGTGCAGTACTCGGCACTTGGACTTATTGAAGATCATCCCGTTTGATTCTGCCCATGCATCCAACCGTTCCAAATCTTTCTGCAGAGCCCTACGTCCCTCTAGCAGATCTACACACGTTCCCAATTTAGTATCATCAGCAAATTTACTAATAAAAGACTCTAAGCCCTCATGCATATCGTCAATAAAAATATTGAACAGAACTGGCCCCAACACAGACCCCTGAGGGACACCACTGGTGACTGGTCATCAGCTGGATGCAACACCATTCACCACCACTCTCTGGGCCTGGCCATCCAGCCAGTTCTGAATCCAGCAAAGGGTATTCCTGTCCAGACCACGGCCTGCGAGTTTGTCTAGGAGTAAGCTATGGGAGACAGTGTCAAAGGCCTTGCTGAAATCCAAGTAAACAACATCTACAGCCTTCCCTGCATCCACTAGCCTGGTTACCTGGTCATAAAAGGTGACCAGGTTAGTCAGACATGATCTACCCCTCCTAAATCCATGCTGGCTGGGTCTGATACCCTGGCCATCCTGCAAATTTTGCATGATGGTGCATAATATAAACTGTTCCATTATTTTGCCAGGTATAGAGGTCAGGCTGACTGGTCTATAATTGCCAGGATCTTCCTTTACACCTTTTTTGTGAATGGGTATCACATTGGCCAGCTTCCAGTCATCCGGAACCTCACCAGTAAGCCATGACTGTTGGTAAATGATGGAGAGTGGCTTTGCAAATTCATTTGCCAGCTCTCTCATTACCCTGGGGTGGATCCCGTCTGGTCCCATAGATTTATGAATATCCAAGCATTTCAATAGTTCTATGACAGCCTCCTCTTGGATAATGTTGGGACCATTCTGCTCCCTAAAACCATCAACCAGCCCAGGTGGGCGGGTGTCTTGAGGGCAAGTCATCTTCCCATTAAAAACTGAGGCAAAATAGGCATTAAACACTTCTGCCTTCTCCTCATCTGCAAATACTAACTTCCCACCTTTGCCCAATAAAGAACAAAGGCTGGTCTTACCTTTCTTCCTACCATTAATATATTTATAAAAACATTTTTTATTATCCTTAACAGTAGTCACCATTCTGAGTTCAAACTGAGCTTTGGCCTCCCTAATTTTTTTTCTGCATACTCTAGCAGCCCTCTTGAATACCTCCTTAGAGACCGGACCCTTCTTCCAACGCTGATACATCCTCTTTTTATTCTTGAGTTCCTCCAAGACCTCCTTTCCCAACCAGACTGGACGTTTACCCCGTTGACTGATCTTTCGGGATACAGGGATGGTCTGTTCCTGCGCCCTCAAGATCTCTGTTTTGAAGTAAGCCCACCCTTCCTGAACTCCTTTGTTTTTAAGGGCTGCTTCCCAAGGGACGCTCTGAATGAGTCTCCTGAACAGGCCAAAGTCCGCCCTCCGGAAGTCCAGTGCAAGAGTTTTACTGGTGCTCTTCCTGACTTCACCAAGTATTGAGAACTCTATTATTTCATGATCACTCTGCCCCAAACGACCTCCAACCACCACATCTCCCACCAGCCCATCTCTATTTGTAAATAGCAGATCTAACATAGTCCCTCCCCTGGTGGGTTCATCCACCAGCTGCAACAAAAAATTGTCCTCCATACATTCTAAGAATTTCCTGGACTGCTTCTTTACTGCTGTATTAAGTTCCCAGCAGATATCTGGTAGGTTGAAATCACCCACAAGAACGAGGGTTGATGATCTTGAAACAGTGCCTAACTGCTTATAAAATAATTCATCTACTTCTTCTTCCTGATCGGGTCGACGATAACAGACTCCCAATATGGTGTCGGCCTTGTTGGCCTTCCCCTTAATTCTTATCCATAGACATTCAACTCCTCCTTCCTTTGTTTCAATTTCGATGACGTCAAAAGTTTGCTTAATATAAAGTGCCACCCCACCTCTTCTTCTTCCTTTCCTATCTCTTCTGAAAAGTTTGTATCCATCCAGTGTAGTACTCCAGTTATGTGAGTCATCCCACCACGTTTCCGTGATGGCAACTACATCATAGCTTTGCAGTTGCACCATGGCCTCCAGCTCTTCTTGTTTATTGCCCACACTGCGTGCATTGGTATACATGCACCTCATCTGGGCAACTGAGTTCACCCCTATCTTAGCCTTGCCATTCTTGGGCCTGTTTCCAGATAGCTCAGCTGGTTCCCCTTCCCCCTTCAAACTTAGTTTAAAGCTCTCTCAATGAGGTCTGCCAGTTCGTGAGCTAAAATCCTTTTGCCCTTAACAGAGAGGTGTACCCCATCTGGTTCCAACAGAGAAGATGCTGTAAAAGTTTCACCATGATCAAAGAATCCAAAATTTTGCCTGTGGCACCAACCCTTAAGCCACTTATTGATGATACGGATTCTCCTGTTTCTTTCATCATTTTCCTCCGCCACCATTGGGACTGAGCAGAACACTACCTGTGCTCCTGCCCTGTCAATTACCTGACCCAGTACCTTAAAGTCCTTTCTAATTGCCTTGACACTCCTCTTCTCAATCTCATCACTACCAGCCTGGAGTATCAGCAGTGGGTAATAATCAGAGGGCTGAATCAGTCCAGGAAGTCTCTCAGTGATATTTTGTACCCGGGCCCCAGGGAGGCTACAGACTTCCCTGTGGAATGGGTCTGGTTGACATATAGGGCCTTCAGTTCCCTTCAGGAGGGAATCACCTACGACGATTACCCTTCTTTTCTTCTTGGTGCTTGAGGTAGTGATTCGTGTTGCAGGTGAATCATAATTGGGGGGTTCACTAGGAAGACAATTCACTCCTAAATCATCTAATTGTATCTCTAGATCCAGAATGTCATACCTATTCTGAAGTGGTACTTGGCTGGATGATGGTGGGAGGGGAGGTCTTTTCATTTTTACCACCCCGCACAGGGACCCGTTTCGACTCCTCTTCATCCACCAATTGCCCTTCTGTTGCCTGAGAGTGGGAGGCATATAAGTCCTCAGTCTCTTGATTAGTAACCTCCCTTAAAGATGGTAGGGCTGAACTCCACCAGTCTATTTCCCTTTCACTTTCCCTAATACTCCTTAACCTTTCAACTTCCTCCCTAAGCTCAGCCACCAGTGAAAGGAGGTCATTCACTTGTTCACAGCGCAGGCAGGTTTCCTCCACAACACTCCCTGATGCCACCGATAAGCTCAAACACTCTGGGCACGGATGGGTCTGTACACTCACGTCCTTTTTGGAGGGCCCAACTTGGTCACTTGTACCAGCCACAGCTTTTGACCGTGTAGAAACCATTATTAACAAACACCTCAAAAACAACCAGACAGCAGGGGATTCAAAATCCAGAGGTTCGGGAATCCGGGGATTCAAGAAATCCGAGGGTTTAGAAATCCAAGGATTCCAAATTCCGGGGTTACAGGAATCCAGGGGTTCAAGAATGCGGAGATTTGGAAATTCTGGGATTTGGAAATCCGGGGTTTCAGAGTTCCAGGAATTCTCCAGCAGCAGGTCGGCGCTGCAGGGCTACTAAGGAGGTAGCAGAGGCTCTGCGAGGGATGCAGAATGCGGGGAAGGGAGGAGCAAAGCACAGCTCCGCGGCACAGCTCCGCGGCACAGCTCAGTGCAGGGACACAGTCTTGTCCATCACATAAGGCTTCTTAATTCCGCCATCTTAAAAAAAAAAAAAAGAAAAAGAAAAAAAAAAAAAAGATGGGACAAAAGAGACTGTTCTGCTGGAGACAGAGCAGTTCTGTAAGACAAGAGGGGGAAAAAGCACTTAAAACCATGAACTTCCTTTGAGGAGAGGGTCCTGAGTGAGCAGGGGTGTCCTAGGCAAAACAAACACCAATAAGGGAGACCAAGTCCATGGGCAGGTGGACTTATTTATTTTTTCTCTCTTCCGTTGGTGAACAAACCCCCCTTTTGCTTTCCAGGATGGGGATGTCTCAGGGCTCACCTCTCTCTCCCTCTTCTCTCTCTCCTTAGCCCAAGGCCCCAGATCCAGATGTGAAGGGCAGTTCTTCCAAGGGCCATCCAAAGACAGGTAAAGCAACCAGCAGAGACAGCTCTGCCAAGGAGAAGCATATCTCCACACAGAGAGCAGAAAGTCCCCGGGATTCCTCTGCAACAGGATCCAAAAGTACAGTGGGAAGTGCCTCAGTCCCCACAGAATTCCTCAGGTGAGCTGCACGGGAGGAGGTGATGCCTCTGCTTCTTGGTCCTCTTGCCAAACAAGGTCCATCGTCCCCAGCTCCACAGTGACCCCGTGCCAGTGCTGGGGGATGGCGAGTGCACCCTCCTTGTTCTGTTGGCTCCTCAGCAATGTCTGAAGCCTCCTCTTAAATTGCCAGGCTGAAACGGTACCGGTGGATAGTGCCTGCCCACGGTGAGGTGGAACTGAAGGTCAACTTCTTCGCCAAAAAGCCAGGGAGGTTTGAGCAGACACTGAGGTTTGAGCTCGTGCAGTCAAAGCGCCAGTACGAGCTGCCCTGCTGTGGCACCGGCCTGTACCCCAGCATCAGCCAGAACCCACGGTAAGGCTGGGCCCTGGCAGCCTCCCACAGCACAGCTGCCCTGAACTCACAGCCAGGCTGCCCCTTGGGGCTTCTGGCCTGGGCAGACCGTGCTGCCTGAGGCTGCCCAGCCCCTCTTCCTGTGCTGGGAGCTGGGAAGGCAGATGGTACCTCAGCCACCAGGAAGGGTTATGGCTTTCTGACTGCATTTCCTACTTGGAGCATCTCATAGCTCCTCCTTCCCCACTTTCTCTGCCCAGGGTGGTGTTTCCACAGTGCAGGAAAACCATGAAGGAAGACGAAGTCATCTTCAAGGAATACGTTGAGAGCACAAAGCAATTCCACTTTGGACCGCTGCTGTGTGGGAAATCAAGAGAGTGGTATGTGCTCCCTGCCGGGCCTTGTACTTTTCTGGACGTGCCTGGAGAGACATGCTGTCCTGGTGGCACAATCCCAACAGAGTCCTGGATTTGAAGGACCAAAGACACGTGGGCTTGAAGACACATGGGTTTGAAGGACCACAGATGTGTGAACTTGAGCAGATAAGAGGCAAATGAGCCTTGGAGGAGCTGCTCTGCCTACCCAGTGGGTGCCTTGGTGGCCGCCTTGGTGGCCAGAGCCGCGTGCTGCTGCGAGTCCAAAGGTGACTTGGGGGGCAACTTTTGTGTCCCCCCACATGTCAGCTTCAACCCATAGGAAATGAACTTTATGGTGGTTTTTGAAGTGCTTTGAGCTCTGCAGGTAGCCTGATCTAGCAATTATTCTGTAGATGGTTTTGTAAACCTTTCATTAATCTCTAATTATTAATAAGATTTTATGGTTGACCTGCCAATAGGTGTCGAGGGGAACACACTGCAGGAATTACATTTTCCTGCAATGACATTGCGTGCTCACTGCTGGATAAAATCTGCATAAACACACTGTCATTGAAGCTATTGTGTACTTCTACTTTTACTGTCACTTAAAAAAAAATAAAAATTTAACATTAAGTTCTTATCTCCATGGGAGATCTGGAGGGCTAGGTCTCTTTTGACAGCCCAAGGAAATGAAATTGAAATACATACAATCTTTTGCCAGGTTGATGGATGGTCTGGGATCTCTCTTTGCCTCTTTAACCCTTTCTCCAAATTCTTCTCTCTAACTTTCACTCCAAAGTCATTTCCACACCTAAGAGAAGGATCATTTGTTATCTTTTTGCATTCCTCTTAGGAACTGATGCTTTATATTTATTTCTCAGACTCTGAGCTAACCCATGAAATCCAAAGTACCTTCATGACTTTTATGAAAGAGATTAGCTAAACTCCTTTTCCAAAGGCCTTTCCTTGTACCCTGCAGGGAAGGCATCCCAAGAAAGAGGGGGGAAAAACCCATGTGTCTGGTGTGCTGTTATTTTTCTAGGCACCCTTGAATTAACGTTTTGTTAAAAACTCTTGAAGTGGCCTGAGCATGATCAGCCTTCTGGGCTGGAGGCACCAAGTCCAGGGGAAGGCATCAGAGTTAGGCAGGGATGAGTACACGCCCATGCCCCTGACTGGGATCCATTTCCCTCACTTGTTTGTTAGAGCAGGGTCTCCCAGCACCACTTCCTCGGGTGCACACGGTGCTCTCCTCGGTGTGTGGCAAAGGCAACAGTCTCCTCTGCAGCCTTTTCCTCTTTTGTGGACAGGTACAAGGCCCTGAACTGTCCCGGCAACTTGGAGAAGCTAACCATCCTCAACATCTCCCCCATGGTCATAGAGGTCCACTTCTCCTTTGAGAATGATGGGGAAGCAGAAACATTCCTTCTGGACCCTCCCAGCCTAACCCTGAAACCAAAGGAGAAGCAGGTAGGAGAAGGGCAGGTAGAGCAGGCACTGTAGAAGTGCCCAGGGGCTGCTCCTCCTGCTCACACTCAGAGCTCCTTTAATTTCTTCCTGTGGGGCCATGTCCAGGAGCTGACCATTTGGGCATACCCCACTTCCCTTGGCTTCCTGGAAGACAAGCTCATCTGCAGCATTGAGAAGAACCCGGAGCCAGTGGTCTTCAGCCTGTGCTGCTATGGGGTGCATGTGAAGCTGGAGGTCAGCCCCCCAGAGCTCTCTTTTGACAAGCTGCTTCTGCACAGGTCAGTGATCCCACAAGCACTCCGAGACTTGTGACAAAGAGAAAACGTTTGACTCTGGTTTCTGGGGCATGGATGGAGCTGCTCCAAGTTGCATTCAGTGGCGAGGCTGGTGTGACCATCCAGCAACTGATGCCAAGTGCCTTCCCTTCCTCTCTCTGCAGGACTGACAGCAGGACCTTGGTCCTGAAAAACAACAGCCTGCTGCCCATGGCCTGGCAGCTCAATGGGCTGGATTACCTTGCTGAGAACTTCTCCTTGTCACAAGATAATGGCATCCTTGATCCCCACTCAGAGTTGGAAGTGACAGTGCATTTCAAGGCTGAGCAGATTGGCATAATGGAGAAGATCCTCCGACTAGAGGTGAGAGGAACTGTGCTCTGCCTGGCAGAGCAGGGCACAGTGAGCAGCCATGTGCTCCTAGGGACAGAGTCACGAAGAGCTGCACCTGCCAGACACGAGGGTGCTGTGACCCCAACTTCTGCCTCTGCACAGCATTTGCCAGAACATGCAGTGCATCCACATCCCCCCAGATAGCAGACACTGCATCCTGAGCCTCTACCACAACCACCTTGTCCCTGTGAATGGCTGAAGGCTGTTGTCTGGTTGTACAGACTGTAGCGTGATCTCTACATTCCTCCTGGACTTTGTCTGAAGCCCTTGCATTGTGCAACAAACTCTCCCCCTGGGATTTTGTTCCCCATGGTTTAGGGGCTGCATTTCAGACAGGGTGCTAGGTGATTGGAGAGGGTTGTCAATGCCACCTGCTCTGAGACACCTCACACTTTTTGTGGTTGTTCTTACCCCCCTGTGCCTCTCAAGGAGGCTTTAGCAGCAGCATTCCCTGCTGCAGGAGTGCAGAGTTGGGCTGATAGGGTTTTTTACTGCAGCAGAATCTCACTGGGGCAGCCCCTGAGAGGAACAGGTTAGCAAAGCTTGGGAGTCCACCAACGCTTGTGAAGCCAGGGAGGCCATAGGGGAAGCAGCCAGCAGAGACAAGGACTTTTCAAAAGAATAATCTGAACAGTGTTTGTTTCTTGCTGCCTCAGGTTTCAGATATAGAAAATGTCCTAGGGGTTGTCCACACTGAAAACATCGAAATCTCTGCAGAGGTCTACGATGTTTCTCTGACCATTGACTTCATACCTGAAGGTCAGTGGATGCCTCCTAAACAAAGCAGTCCAGGTGCACTGTATTACCTTGGGAGGTGGGCAGCCAAAGCACTGGGATGGGATGGGATGAGATGGGATACAAGGATGGCATGGACACATAAAGCATGTACCCTGCAACCTGCATGAAATAAAGGGCTCTGACAGCCTTAAGTCTCTCCCCTCTGAACTTTGAAGTGTGCAGCTTCATGTGCAGACTGGATTTGGGGGCTTTGAAACAACAGCGACATGAACCGGCAGTTGGCAATGCCCACAGGCGTGGCACAGCAAATAAAGTAATTGGATTTGTGCTTGGGAGCGAGGAAATGGAAGGCGAGCTCTTTAGCTACTAAGCCTGCAGATATTTTAAGTGTGAAGAGAAAGGGCAGCTGGAAACACTTTCAGGAACAGAAACTTGCTGGAAGGGGGTTTGCACCAAGACCTCTATGTAGCTTGTGGCCTGTTGTATTCTGCAGCAGCTCACAAATACCATGTTTGATCCCACTCTGTGGGTTTTCTGCAGGTCCAGAAGGAAGCTTGGAATTTGGAACCGTTAATGTCCTGGATAATGTGAAGAAAGTCCTAAGTTTAAACAACAAAGGGGTATACAACATTGAGTACAGGTAAGTCCTGCTGCCTGGTAGGGAGCATTTCCTTGGGTTCCCAGGCCTGCATGCTCTGTCAATGGCTAGAACCATTTCCATGCTGGCTACCTCATGGTAAATACAAAACCTGGACTCTCTAATCTCCATTATTCTACCAGAGAATCCAGCCACAAACCAGCAGTTCTTCACAGCTCAGCAGGAACCCAAAGGAGAGCCCCAGAAATTTCAGCCACTGGAATGCTGAGATTCATTGCCTTTCTTTGATGGTCACCTCCTTTCCCTTTCTGAGACTCTGTAAGGAAGGGAATGAAAAATGTTGGTGTCAAGGTTTCTTGCAGTAACCTCATGATTGTCTGCACTCTCTGTCAAGATCCAAGATTCCTGAGCAGAGCTGGACTCTCCCTTTTTTTTCTGGTCCTACGCAAAGTCCTGGCTGTGCTGGTGGCACCTGTACTTTTAGCTGCAGAGATCTCCATTCCTTCCCTTTCTCCCCAGGTTCATGCTGAAGGGTGCAGGTCCCAGGATGCGAGACGCGGCATCCCACTTCACTGTTGCGCCTCAGTCGGGCGTGCTGATTGCCTCCCAGCCTGCTGTGAATGTTGAGATGCTCTTCCACCCCACCAGTGAAATGCTCCTCAAGAACAGACCCATCCTGTACTGCCAGGTGAGCTGCCTGGGCCAGGCTGTGTTATCACACGGTGCTTTGGGAGTGTAAACAGGATAGATGTCTAATGGAAGGAGGCCTTTAACTGGAGAATCCTCTCTCCTACATGCACAAAGTCTTTCGACACCATTTGGGAGGCTTCCTAAGTGGAGCTGAGAATGTGACTCTGGAGGAGGTGCTAAACAGGGAGGGGTAAACTGGAGGCTGGGGAGGGAGCCTGGGGACTGGGGTAGAGGCTGGCCTCTTTGCATTGTTTACCTGCCCTTCCTGTGGACACAGGTGACAGATGCCAGATTAGGTCAAGGAGGCCAGGTTGTGGCTGACATCCCACTGAAGGTGTCGGCCAAAGCCGTGTACAGCAAGTACAGCATTGAGCCTGCCTCACCCATCAACTTTGGGGCCATGATCAAGGGCACCAAGAAGAGCCAGACTGTGGTGCTGGAGAACAAAGGCATGCTCCACTTCAAATTCTGCATCCGCCAACCACCCGAGGATGCATCTACATCAGAAAGGAAAAGGTACGAGCAGCCCTGACCACCCTTCCTGTCTGAGGAGGCACCACCCCACGGCTGGTATGTGGCAGGCAGCCAGGGGACCTGGGCTGTTGTGGCTGATGTGCATTTGCATCCCTGGCTTGAGGAGAGGGAGCAAAAAAAGGCCTGGGTATCCACATGTGTAGTATGAAGCTGGTGGTAGAGCTGCTCAGTCCAGCAGGTGCTCTCAATGGGTGCTGCTGGCTGCTCTCTGAGAGCCAGCAGGAGCACAAGGCTTTCCTCTGTGAGCAGGAAGGCCAGCTTCGGCCTCAGAGAAAGGCAGGGGAGCTCAGATGACAGATACCTCTGCTTTCTCCTCTCAGCTCAAAGGAAGGGGAATCTGCTCCATTGGCTGCTAGGCTCTCAACAGCAAGGAAATCAAGCTCCTTCACACAGGTGGGTGACTCCTGCTGCCCAGCAGTGCTGCTGCAGGGGATGTGAGAAGATGCTGCTGTGCCCAGGCTACGGCTCACTGCAAGACCAGTATCTGCTCAGTCCCACTGACAGTCCTGTAGTCTGGCTCTGACCTGGAGTTGTGGGGTCAACAGAGGGGAGCAGGTCCTGTGTTTGGTAGCTGCAAGCCAGCATAGGTCTGTGAACACCTCAGAAGCAAAAACATCCCCCACTGAACTCCCAGTCCACAGAGCTCAGACAACATTGCTTTTTCTTCTTTGCAGTCCCCTACCTCTCTCCCATCATTTCTCAGAGGTAGTTCTGCTCTCCTCTGTTACCTCTGGAGATTGAAGGAGCACAGCTACCACCTTAATTCTTTACACTTAAATTCCTTTCTCTCTGCCCCCTGGGACAGATTTGTAGCTCTTCTTGGCTTGTTGCTCCCAGCCTGGGGCTGCCTTTGGGCCATGAAGTCATCCTTCCCTGCCCTGGGACTGGACATACTCTTTGGTGGGGTGCTCAAGGCACAGCTATCAGCCATCAACCTCTCCTGGAACTGTTTCTGCAGAGTCACCTCAATCTTGGCATGTTCACGGTGTCCCCCTGCTCCGGCTCCATCGGTCCGTGGGGCCAGCAGAAGATCACAGTGGACTGCTTCGCGGGGCAGGAGGGGAAATGTGAGGAGCAGCTCTACATTGACATCCCGGGCAGAGACCCCAAGGAGAATCCCCTGGGCATTCCCTTCACCCTGATTGCCGAGTCCTGCCTCCCAGGTACCTACTGGCCACAGTGCCCTTGGTCACACCTGCTGCTGAGCAGCACCTCAGTGCCACAGTGCCGGATTATTCCAACCAGCGCCCGGCACCGACAGCACGGGTGGGCTGCCCCAGAAAGCTGCCCAATCCGGGCTGCAGCTGCAGGGCACGGCCGCTCTACGGCTGCCATGGACTGCAGACTGTGCCAGGGTAGGGACAAGGATCAGGGAGAGGCCCTCTGTATGGTTCCCAAAGAAGTTGACTCCCGCAGGTTCAGTGACAGAAAGGGCAAACTCAAATGCGTACATCAGATGATAAGGGGGAGGAGGTCTCAGGGGAGCATACAATCTTAGACCAATAGGGAGAAATTGGGGGTGGAACACAAGGCGGGGAATACAGTGTTTAAACCAATAAGGGGCTGCAGGGGAGGAGAATAATTTAAACAAATCAGTGGGGTTTCAAAGGATGCAAGATTGATAGGGAAGTGTCTAGAGAAAGAGGCAGGCTTGGGGAGGGATAGACATTCAATAGGAGGAGGAAGAGGGAACAGAGGGGCAGATCTTTGGAGAGATGGGCAGCCAGGGCAAACCCAATAACACAGGGCAGAAAGGAACAATCCATCAAGAATAAAATATGCTATGACAGTACAAATTAAGAAAGATTACAAAACTGACTGCTAGAAATGCATTACAATTAAAAAACACAATGCTACACCTCAACTTGCTGCTTGGATAGAGAGGCATGCTAGCCCTGGTGTCCCACCTTAAAATCCTCAGAGGTTCCAGCCCTCTTCAAGTCCACCAGTGGACTCACGCCTCCCAGGCTGAGAGGGATGCATGGAAGGATAAAAGGAAAGCAATGCTCTCTAAGACTGAGGTGGACTGGGCTCCATCCTCACAGCCAGTTGCCTCAGCCAATGCTGGGCTTAGCAGTCACCCGGGCAGAAAGGGCTTATCAAGCCTTCTGAGAGGCCAGCAGGGTCCAGATAAACTCATCAGGGAGGCTTCTCCATGTTCATCCCTCTGGTGTGTCCCCAGGACTTGCTGAGGACGTGCTGTTAATCTTTGAGGAGTACCTGATCTGCAGCAGCACCAACCTCGACCGCAAGATGCAGTTGGTGAAAGGCACGGGCCTGTTCGTCAGAGATGAGAACAGGTTCATCTTCAACAAGGTTCTGGTTGGCCAAGAGGCAGAAGCTCATTTCAGTATCTACAGTGCAAGCAGCCTGCCGTGTGATGTGGTCCTTTCCATCAAACCCCTGCCTGGAGAGGTAAGAGCAGGAGGCCAAGGTGGTGGTTGCCCTCTAAAGGCCGGGTGAGAGCCTCTTTTGTTCTCCAGGTGCATTGCTTCCTGTGGCCCAGACTAGTCTTGATCAGTGCAGGTCAAACTGCAGGGGAGACCAGCAGAGGCAGGGAACAGTTGTGTGGAATTCTGCATGTCTCGGGCAAGGTTTTGGCTCACACCTCTGGGTCTTCAGAGGGAGAAGTGAATCCTTCGGAACCTCTCCTGGAAGCACACGCAGAGAGGGGCTCTTATGAGCTGACATGCCAGGGCTCAAAGCACAGCATTTCCTCAGGCTCCCTGGCTTTTCCTTCTCTTTGAAGGCCAGTTCTGGGTTAGTTGCAGGATCTTCCATGCAGTGCCCATCTCCCATATAGGCTGGGGCAGCTGCCAGCACTCCAAATACACAATGCTTTAGCACAAGGTCAGGGAAGGAGGGAGGAAGACACAATGTCTGGGGCTGTTCTCAGTAATGCATTTATGTATAAAACTGTGTCATCTTGAAAGGTGTTTTCTCCTAACAACGCTCTCTGGATTCCCCCAAGGAACAGATCCCTATCAACAACGTTTTCAAGTTGGATCCAGTCAAGATGTCCATTCCTGGCTCATCCTATGCTGTTGCTACAGTGACCTTCACCCCGCCAGATGAGCAGAACTACAACTGCACCTTCAAGGCTTCCCTTGTCATCCCCAAAGGGTAACTGACCCTGTGAAATACTCGGGAGGCCTCACTGATAGCTGCCTCTCCCCTGGAAAGGCACAGACCTCTTGTTAGCTCTAATGCTTTCAGTAGCCTCAGGAAGAATACTTGGCATGAGATGATCTGGGAGGCAGTAACTCTTAGATAGAGCAGAAAAATGAGGCTGATGGTTTAGCCTGTATGAGGAACTAAGAAGACAGGCAAATATTAGGTAGCCAACTGGAAGTTACTGAGATGTGCTGCAGCTGAGCTGGGGGTTCCAAGGACAAAGGCTTGGATGAAGCAGTTTCTGTACCAGCAAGTCAGCAGTCACACTTTCCTCTTTGTTTCTGCAAAATTAGGTGATCCTCTGTGATTCCCTGGCATTCATTAAGCTGTTTTATGTGAGTGATTGGAGCTGGTATGAAAGAGGAGTCTGGTTCCTCTGCTCTGGGACCTGTGTACTGGGGCTTTGGCCTGCTCTTCCTCAACCCTTTAGTGGCTGAATTGGAACAAGAGAAGTCTAATTGCTAATAAGCAACTGCTTTTTTACTGTTCATGGAAATGATATTTACTGATGGTGATGATGATGTGTTTTTGCCTTCTTGCTTTTGTACTGCTTTCATGCTGTGCTTTTGATTGTTGCATAAGTTCATCTCAGTGCAGCCAGGGGATTTGCCATATCTCATCTGGTGCCTCATTATTTACCTGCTGTACTGCATGATTCAATTAAATGAAATTATTTTTAACTGTTATTGTGGAAGGCTCTGGCTCTTTGGAGCAGATTCCTCTTGTGAATGGCCCTGAATGGATTGGGAGGAAGCTGGTGGGGGGCCGTGTTGTGGGGTACAGGAGCACCAGGCAGGGAAAACGCTGTGGCCTGCCTAGTGAGAAATGCGTTAGTGCCAGCCGAAATTGTTTCTGTGCCTCTTCTGCAGCCCTGTGAAAATTAAACCCCAAACCGTGACCTTCACCATCAGTGGGAAGGCGCACGAGGCGCAGCTGACGGTCGTGTGCCCCAGCGCTCGCAGCAAGAGGGGAACGGCCGTGCTGCGCTTCAAGAGGCGCCGCGTGGGGACATCCCAGAAGCTGCCCCTGGTCGTCCGGAACGATGGCATCATACCTCTCAAGGTGGGGAGGACCTGCTCAAGGAATGGTCTGGTGTGGGAACGAGCGCTTGTGGCACAGGGGAAGGGTCCCAGAAAACACGGCAGACCTGGGAAGAGGTGTCAGAAATTCTTTTGAAGCAAGTGACTGACATCTGTTCTCCAAGAAGGGAATTCTTGGAAATTTTCCATCCAGTCTTTCTTCTTTAAGTTGAACACAAGAAAGGTTGTGGAGTATTTTCCCCCCGTCTCTCAGGTCACCTTTTGTTCTCATGGACATGTGTGATTTTCTAGTTCCATTACATTGTATTTGATCCCAGTTTACTACATTTGAAGTAGACTTAGATGTGGTTTAATTACATTCTGCTCATTACTTTCTGTCCTGTTTGGTTCTCTGTCAGTTCTACCCAGATGCCTCTGAACGCCCTTTTTTCTTGTCTGGTTTGACTTCACTTTTGTGCTAAGTGCTGTTAGTAGTGGGAGAGGTGCTGGGCTGCCATGTGGGACCAGCAGCACTGTGGTGTCAGTCCCTGTGCCACCCTGTACTCACACCAGCATCATTGTGCTCTGGTTTCCCTTTTCTCAGTTTATGTTACGCCTGGAGCACGAGTACGGAGCGTTCTTCTTGAAGGGCAGGGCCTCCACACTCGAGGTATTCCGCACTGAAGATGAGGACTCCCTCATAAATGGTAAATTCATTACCCGTGAAATGTGATCATGCAAAGAGGGAAAACTCAGCCAAGCCTGCTCTTGGCTTCTCCGAGCAGCAGCCAGATGTTAGGCACAGTTTTGTTCCTTGGGCTCTCTGTCCCCCAAGCTTTTCTTGGGGCCTTTTTGCAGGGTTTCCTCCTAGCAAGTTGTAGGAAGTTCTTCTGTTCTAGATGTGGGGCGTTGAGTTGTGGGGGACTGTCACTACCACAGTGGACCCTCTGAGGTATTTGCTGCATGTAGGAAGGTACCAACCTGAACAGACACAGCCCTTGAGCACACAGCCAGCCAGCAGAAGCCAAAAGCACTCTTTGGCTCAGCTTTGCATATGGCTGGAGCTGGCTGGAAGCAGATGGAATGAGGGCTGGGCATCAGCCTGAGGTTAAGCTGCTTAAGTGGTGATGTGTCTGGAGGTGGCATAGGCACAAGGTGTCTTGTGAACATAGGAAGAAGGTCTGGAACTACTGGGGGTAGAACCTGTGCTTAGAAGGCAGCTGGCTTCAACCTCTTATTCCTCATATCTCCTATGGAAATATTTCCTCTGTACAGCTGTATCACCTAACTCTGATTTCCATTGCTGTGCAGGGAGCAAGCCCACAAAGCCTTTCTTCCTTCTGCGTCACGGGGAATCAGCAGAGTTTGATGTCATTTTCAAACCCACCCTGGCTCAACGTCTGGAAGGGGAGATTCATCTGTTGGTGGCGGACGCCTGCTCTAACAAGATCCTAGTAGAGCTGGTGGGTGAAGGCCACAGAGACAGATTCACCTTCAGAGGACTAAAGGAAGACACAGAGGAAAGGGATGCTAAGAGCAGCCTGAATAAAGACATCATTGATGGTAAGAGAGGAGAGGCTGCCAAGGTGGAGCAAGGAGGAGGACAATGTCTGATCATGTGTGTCCTCCCTCTAGCCAGGCCTGGGCTGTCACCCACGGGACTTGGTGGCCTGTGGGCGTGGCAGCCATGCATGCAGAGCAGTGTGTGCTGTGCTGCCCGTTGCTGGCTTAAGGATGTGTCAGGGTGTTTCCCTGGAAGTGGTGGGATGGGGAACTCCCTCCAGAGGGAGGAAGGCTTGGAGCAAGGAAGCACTGAACGTGCAGGTGTCTGTGCACGTGAGGGGGTGTGTGGAGCTCCCTGCATGCTGAGATCTCTTGCTCTCCTCCTTTACAGCTATCAGAGTGAATCACATGGACTTTGGGCACTGTCCTGTCGGGAAGTGCTGCCGCAGGACCTTCGCCATCAGGAACCGCACCCGGCACCAGTTCCTGCGCTTTGAGTGGGAGGCAGACGGCCCATTCCACATCTCCCCCAAGGTGAGCGTGGACTGCTCTGCCTTTCCCCACTGCTCAGGCCCTGCCCTGGTGTTCCCAGGAGCTGGCAGGGAGTCCTCACATGCCACTGATAGCCTGTTCCAGTGCCATGTAGGAGATGCAGTCCCTGGCTTGGCTGGGCCAAGGCTGCCAGCCTTGCAGCAAAGGCTTCATGTTATGGCAGGTGGCACCTTCTGTTCACACTTTTGTCTATCAGACTTTGCATAAATCCACTCTGAGGTGCAGATTCCTGGCACAGCTGCTTACCACATCAGTTCCTTTTGCTGGCAGTCCTGCCCTTGGCAGTGCTTCAAGTTTGGTCTTGACTCCCTGATTCCCCCTAGGTGGGACACCTCCGTCCTCGCCGTTCCAAGGAGATCAGAGTGTCCTTCAAATCAAATGTCCCAGTCACCTACAGGAGGCACCTTGTGAAATGTAAGGTGACCAAGATCGAGTTTCAGCTGCCACCAAGGAAGGTTCCGGACTGGGATGACCAACAGTGCATTGTCACGTGGAAGAGTACCCCCAGGAAAGACCCAGGAGACAAATTCTATAAAATGCAGAAGGTAAGAAGCAAAATGGCAAAAAAAGCCAACCCAGCTTTTACAAAAAGAACCACCATAACACCATCACTGCTGGCTGTGCAGCTCCTGCTTCCTCTGACATCAGACAGCTGTGAGGTTCACCAGCAGTGCAGTCCAGGGGAGAGGTGGATGCACAGTGACTGGATGCACTCACACAAGAGGGGAAGCCTTTGGACCAGAGACCTTTAGCTACACAAACCATCAGTCTGTGCCACAAGCACAAGTGTTGCAGCCCATGTTGAAGGGGGGCAATGTTTTATGATTTTATCCCATTTTATGGTGTTAGAAATGTCTTCATCTCATTTGGTGCCTTTTCACCAACAAGGACTTAAGTCTGCTGCACTCTGTCTCTTCTTTTGAAGCAGAGAGAAATCCACTTCTCCTGCATATGCTGGTGAAGTCCAAGTTTTGTCTGCATGGATACCAGAGAATTTGGTTGTAGTCTCTGTATTGTGTGGGATATCTCATCATGGAGTAGCTCAGGCACTGTGTGACAGTATGGAGGAGTCCAGAGAAGGATCATCTCCAGAGACTCCAGGTTTTATTTTCATTATTGCCACGCAAACTCATCTTGGGCGAAGGTTCATTCTGAGTTTCTGGACCATTTTAAGGCTTCTAAACCATCCTCTTTTCTATCAGAACATCTGCAGTTGGAGACTTTCCTAGTGAGATCTCTCACATCCCAAAATGCCCATCCCCAGCTCCCAGCAGTGTGGCTGTTGCTCCACACAAGAAATCTGGAAAGCACTTTCTCCTAAGATAAGGAAAAGGTGCTTTCTAGAACTCTTCAGTCCTGGGGTTCTTCATCTACAGAGCTCCAGCAGGGGAACTTAAACCAAATTTTGAGACCTGCTGGATTTATAGGGGACAGGAAGAGAGTCAGTCCCTCTACAAGGTTGAAGTACAGGGACTGGAACACAGCTATAGTCTCCGTGGGGATATTAACAGCTGTGGTAGTGACTGCTTGGATCAGTGGGTAGAAACAACTACTGTAGCAGAGCAGTCCCAATTTTGTCATCTTTCCAGGGAAGTAAAAGTGAATGGTCCTTTCTAGTCCCGCTATGAGGCTGACCTTGGAGGCCAGAAGATTCCCTTCCAGGCCTGACCTTCTGGGCTCTGCTCAGTGACCCCTCCCTCCTGTGTTTGCAGGTGGTCGAGCCAGTCCCAGAAACGGATCACACTGAGGTGGAGGGTAGCACCCAGGAGGCCGAGGTGCGCCTCAGTGCTGCTGTGGCCTACACCCAGCTGAAGACGAACACCATCGTGGTTCAGTTCAAGAACACCTTGCCCTTCCACACAAGGACAGCCACGTGAGTGCTGGAGGCCAGGCACTGCTCCTCCTGGGAGCAGGAGCTGCCTTTGCCCAGGGCTGGCCCAGTGCCTGCTTGCCACAACTCTGCCCCAGCCCCAACCAGCACAGGCCCATTGTCGTGCACACAAGGCCAAGCAGGAGATGGTGGTCAGGAGAGCCTCAGTGCTGCCAGACCTTTCTGCTGAGAGCAGCCATGGGTTTGCTCTCACTGCATGTCACCTGTCCTCATCTGCTCAGGAATAAGTTTGCAGTCAAACCAAGACCTAAAGTCCAGAGTAAGCCCCTTAGCTTCCATGTCCTGGGCACCATGTTGGCCCTTTCCTCTTAAAGATCCAGACTTGGAAATACTGTTTAGGGCCACCCAGGACAGCAGTCTGAGCAGCAGGGTTGCCTGGGGAAGAAGGTGCTCCTCAGCAGAAAGTGATACCAGGAGTTCCTCAGACAATGTTACTGTACTAATTGCTTTATATTTATTGGACATTTTTTTTTATTCCTCCTTCTTGCTTTTCAGTTTCAGAATTCACAACACAGGGAAGGTACCTCTGGAATACTACTGGGAGGAACCTACAGCTAGTAAACCAGTGAAGAAGGGATACTCGGTCGCTCTGATGCGTAAGGGCATTTCACCCCAAAACATGAATTGCTTTTTCATCCTTGTCCACACGTCCACTTTCATCAGCATCTTCCCAGCCGCAGCTGGAGAGTTTTCACCTTGTCCCTCTCTGCCTTTCAGCCTTTTCTGTTCTTGCTCTGCCCCTTCTGCTCTGCAAAGGAGCTGAGCCAGGCTCTGGGGAGAGCCACGTGCTGGGTCAGGACTGGGAAGGGGGACATCAGGTCATCTCTTTGAGAAGTCTGAGACTGGGAAAAGCAGTGATGTAACAAGTGACCTGCCCTGGAGCCACTGTCTGTGTGCAGTTCCTCACTCCAGGGCAAATGCAAAGTCACTGTCTAAAAGCAACTCTCCTGCTTTGGCACAGGAATGTGTGCTGCAGGCAGAGACGCTGCTCCCAGACACTATTTCCTGCTAGAATAAAGGACTTGGCCAGAGATGCTCCAAGTGCATCCCAGCTCTCTTCCACCTACGTGCAGCAGGAGGCGGAGTTGCTGGGAACACAGGTCTTTGAAAGGTGTTCTCTTGCTCCCTTGCAGGTCGGCTCCTCTCTTCTAAAATTATAAAGCATCGCAGAAAGCTGCTGCGTCGTTACTGGCGGCGGCTGGCCCGTCCTCCTAAAGTGCGGCGGTGGCCTGACAAGAAGCAGCAGCATTCCAAGTGGTGGCAGCAGCAGCAGCAGCAGCAGCAGCAGCCCGAGCAGCCAGCCCCTTCCAAGAAGAAGAAAAAGACAAAGCACGTCTCTCTACAGCATAGCAGTTCCTCCATGGAAATCTTCCCAGATCTGACCGATGAAACACCGGCGGCACTGTTCTCCATCGACCCCTACCGCGGCACCCTCGCTCCTGGCCAGATGCAGACCTTCCACGTGCGCTTCGCCCCGAAGGCTGTGGGCAAGTTTAAGACCATCATGGTGTGCAGGTGGGAAACGTCTCCACCAACTCACGCTACCGATGGGTGTCACTGAATCACAGGGTGGGACAGAGTGGAAGGGACCACAGTAGGTCATCTGGTCCCACTTCCCTGCTCAGGTGGGGTCGTCGCTGAGCACAGGGTTGTGTCCAGAGGGCTCTGGAATAATTCCAGTGAGGGACACTCCACACTCTCTCTGGGCAAGCTGTCACCTACACAGGAAAGAAGTTCTTCCTCAAGTTCAGGTGGAATTTCCTGTTCAGGTGCTGCCATTGCCTCTTGTCCTATTGCTGGGCATCACCAAGCACAGCCTGGTTCATCCCCCCTAACACCCTCCCTTCAGTCCCTCTGACTGGGATGGGGAGGTGGGCATGGAGTCAGGCAGCCCCAGAGAGGCAGCAGAAACACCCACAGGAGCACAGAAAGATCTGTGGAAGGCCAGATCATCTGGCCTTGGAAGGGAGGCACTGGGAAAAGACACCGTATGAAACATCACGCTCCCGGAAGGTTGCAAAATCTGGAATGAGAGATCTGGGCACCAGCCAGTCCCTAGCTCTGGTTCCTTTGGGGACAAGCAAGGCCTGCTTCTCTACATGGAACCCTGTGTGCTGTAGGTGGTTCCCAGGCACTTAACAGGTCATGGTCCTGCCCTTGCACCTCTGTGCAGTGAGTGCAGTTATTTAATGTGCTGCTCACTGCTTGCACAGAGAGAGGATGCAACACTGTGTGCTTTGCAAGGAGGCAGAAAAGCAGCTGGCTGGAAATGTTCCTCTGGCTAACACCAGTCCCCTTCTTCCTAGGATTCCTAAGCTGAGGCCAAGTCAGAAGAAGGTGCGGCTGATTTTGAGAGGCAGGGCCCGGGACAAGAAGAAGATGAGGTTTGGTAAACCCAAACGCTCGGCGTTACGGCAGGCAGAGGAGAGCCCGAAGCCCAAGAAGAAGGTGCACTGGAAACTGCCCCCTGAGTGAGAGCGTTTGTGTCAGCTGGAGCCTCCACAGGAGCCAGCAGCACCGTGCCTTCTGCTGCTGGTGGTCTCCCACCCTTCACCAGAGACCTCCGCAGCTACCCTTCCAGTGAACGCCTCTAGCTTATCTTTTAGTTACCTAAGTTAATTCACTAACTGTTGTTTAATTGTTGATTAAACAACTGGCAATAAATCGTTAGTTGTCAGCTTGTCTTGGTTGGCAAGACAGGTGTCTGCAGGACCTCTCTGGAATGGAAAATGTGACCCCCTTCCCTCCAAATTATTGTAACTGAAATTAAGGGGCTTTCAGGCAAAGATATGGGAAAAGGAGTAACAGTTCTTTACTAGCGTGTAAGGCAAACAAAAACAACACTGGCAGCAACAACAAACAGAACCAGATACCCAACCACGGCCTTCCCTTCGCTGCAGGCACTTCCCCTTTGCTGTAGTTCTGGTCACAGCTGGGCAGGGAAGGGAGGCAGCTAATGAATAAAGCAATTACTGAAGAAATTTTAATTAAGCTACACCAAGGAATACGCTGGCGAGCTCAAGCACTGTGTGATCAATTCGGAAGAACTTATTGCTGTGAGGGAGTCTATACAGGAATCAAACAGAGACTGAACAATGCTCAATTTGTTAAAAGGTAAATAAGAAAGTGATGAGAAAACACCCTGGTGAGGGAAGAGCCCTAGCCCTTAGATCCTTTCAAAATATGCAAATAAATTACACTGAGTTCCCCAGAATACAGAGGTGGAAATACCTTCTTGTAATAGTTGATCACCTCACCCACGGGGTAGAAGCCTTTCCCACCTCACCTGCAACTGCCTCCAAAGTGGCTAAGATGCTATTAGAACAAACCATTCCCAGATATGGCATAGTGAAAGAATAGACTCAGATAAGGGAACACACTTGAGAAATTTTACATTCTATATGTGTGGAATTAGACATAAATTGGAGATTTCATACCCCGTGGCACCCTCAAGGCTCTGGATGTGTGCAGAGAATGAATGCTATCCTTAAGAACCATATTACCAAATTAATGGTTGAAAGCAGATTAGCATTATTAGAGATCAGAACTGCTCCAAGAAAGGGCAGAGGAGTTTCTCCCAGTGAAATGTTACTTGGGTTACCTTATCTGGGAAGGGAGGAGGGGTTGCCAATGGCTGAAACTAATGACTCGGCTCTCAGAAATTATTTGCAGGCAATTGTACTCTCTCTCATGGATCTTAGAAGAAAAGAGTTGTTACCCCAAACATCACCTCTAGACTTTCACATACACCAGGTAAAACCAGGAGATTGGGTTCTAATAAACTTGGAATGATGATGCCTTAACAGCAGCATGGGAAGGTCCCTTTCAGGTACTTTTAACAACTGAAACAATTACCAGGACTGCAGAAAAGCTCTCACGCCTCTCAAGTCAAAGGGCCAGTGGAAGCTCCTCCCCAAACTTGCGCAGTGGTACAAGGAAGTGACCCTTAAAAGTTAATCTTCAAAAGATGATTTAATAGTGAACAGTCAAGGGCAAGACTGGACTGACCTCTGTATTTGCCACCTGAGAGCCTTTTGCTCCTCTGTGGGCTGCAACCCCTTGGGCGTTGAGCAGTGGGAATATAAGGCAAACCAGACTTTGACAAAAGAGGAATAGGAGATTATGTTCTAAGCCTCTGCAAATTGCTGGATGGAGTGTCATGGCTTCTATGCTTCACCTCTACATCCCTGCAGTGTGCTGTTCTAGTGCACAGAGCTCAGGAAACAGGTATGGATACCGAGGAAGGCAACCTTTGGTGCTACAGTCACCATCTGAGGTTTGCATCATCCCAGCAAGCACAGATGGAACTGCTGATGGCAGACACTGCACACAAGCGTATCTACATCCTGCTTTGCTTGAGTTGGAGGAGAACTATGGACAGCAACCAGAACTGACAAATCAGGAACTTTTAAATAGACTGAATTTAACACTGACCTCAGAAAAGACTGATTAATCTTATTTATAACTGCTTCACAAAAGGAGCCAGTTAGTGCTGACCAGACAGGGTAATTAAATCAAGGGGTTCAGCAATAAAAGGATAATAAAAGGAAAGGGTGGATTGTGAGAGATGAGGTGAGATTTTGCTGAAGCCAGAAGGTTCTTAGGTTAAAGAATGAAAGGTGTTGGTTCTATGTGGTGTTGTTTGGATTTGTTCTGGTTGGTTTGTTGAGTGTTTGTGAGCTGGGAGGGGGGCGGAGTTGGAGACCTAAACAGAAGTAGGATGAGAGGGGAGGGGACCGTAAATTTGCAGATAACAGCAAGGTGGGAGCATGTGTCAACTTATTGGAGGGTAGGAGGGCTCTGCAGAGGGACCTGAACAGGCTGGATAGATGGGCCAAGTCCAACAACATGAAGTTTAACAAGTCCAACTGCCGAGTGCTGCACCTTGGCCACAACACCCCCTGCAGCGCTACAGGCTGGGGACAGAGTGGCTGGGCAGCGGCCAGGCACAAAGGGACCTTGGGCACTGGTCAGCAGCCAACTGAGCATGAGCCAGCTGTGTGTCCTGGTGGCCAAGAAGCCAGTGGCTCCTGGCCTGGATCAGGAATGGTGTGGCCAGCAGGAGCAGGGAGATCATCCTTCCCCTGTGCTCAGCACTGCTGAGGCCACACCTCGAGTGCTGTGTCCAGTCTGGGCCCTCAGTCTGGGAAGGATCTTGGGATGTTTGAGCATGTCCAGAGGGGGCAACGAGGATGGAGAGGGGCTGGGAACACAAACCCTGTGAGGAACCCCTGAGGGAGCTGGGGGTGCTCAGCCCGGAGAAAAGGAGACTCAGGAGACTTTATCACTGTCTACAACTCCCTGAAAGGTGGTTGTGGTCAGGTGGGGCCCGGTCTGCTCCCAGGCAACAAGTGACAGAAGGAGAGGGCACAGTCTTAAGCTGTGCCAGGGGAAGTTTAGATTAGATGTTAGAAAAAAAATTCTTCACTGAAAGAGTGACGGCACACTGGAATCGCCTGCCCAGGGAGGTGGTGGCGTTGCCAACCCTGGACATGTTTAAAAAAGAGTAGATGTGGCACTCAGTGCCATGGTTTAGTTGATGAGGAGGTGTTAGGTCATGGGTTGAAGTAGATGACCTTAAAGGTCTTTTCCAATCTAATTCATTCTGTGATTCTGTGAAAAGTTGGCAGTCGGGAGAGAATGGAAGTTCCTGAGTACCCATCCAATGGCAAAGGGGATAGGGACAGCCCCGACCAGGAAAGGCTACAAAAAGAAGCCATTTCCTCAGGGGGGGCAGTCTTGGTCTGTCAGGCAAGGGCAGCACACACCTGGCTCATTACTAATAGAGTATTCTTTTGCTTCCACCATTTGTCCCCACTGAATTGCATCTAAAGGTCCGTGCATTTCCAACACCATGGAGGTGGAATAAGGTGATCATTAAGGTCCCATCCACATTCTGTGGAAGGGACCTCCTGTGGTTCCTCCTCTCCCAACTATGGTTCTGTGACTGGTCACAAATGCAGCCCTTTCACGGTCCTTCTCCCACTGGGAGCTGCTCCAGTGCCGGAGTTCAGGCGGGACTGGACGGAATCCACGGAGCCTCCGCACATCTAGGGCAGCGCGGCCCCGCAGCTCCCGGCACAGGGACAGCCCGGAGGGGGAAAGGGAAAAAGGGAACTGTGGAAAACGCCAATAATTTGTTTTTAAAATTTTAAAAGTTTAATAGTAATACAATGGTTATAAAAATAGCAATACAATTAGAGTAATAATAATTTGGACACTTTGAATTAGGACAATATGAGACAATAGAGACAAAGAGTTATGGACGTCTGGGTACCTTTTTCTGGGAAGCACAAGCTCGAAAAAGGACACCCGTTAACAAAGGATTAACCCTTAAAAGCAATAATAGCCTGTTGCATATTCATATATTTCATACATGATGCATAAATTCCATTCAAACACAGGATTCTGTCTGGTCAGTGCCACCTTCTTCCTCTGAATCCTAACAGCGCCTTTGAGGCAGGAAGAAGTTCGTTTCTTGTGATAATGGGGCAATAATTTCTTTTTCTGTGAAAGATTTAGGTGTCCTGTGGCTGCTGTATCGCTGAGAGTCCTTTCTTAAAAAAAAAAAAAAAAGTATCCTCCATAGCATAGTTTCTATTCTAACATTTTTTAGCACTTAAAACTATATTTAAGAGAAGTAACACAGCATTACTTTCTAACACAACACATGTAATATCCATTTTAACATTTGCGAACAGCCAATCATGAAAAGCACGCATTTGTCACAGGAGCGATCGAGCGCCGAGTGGTGGGGCCGCGTCGGGGCCGGGCCGGGGGCGGTGCCGGAGATGGCGGCGGAGCGGGAGGAGCCGGGCCCCGCTCCCGGTGCCTGTCCCGGTCCCGGCCCGGGGCATGAGCGGGGCACGGCCCGAGGGTGCCCGAGCTCCGCTCTGCCCGCTCCTGGGCACGGCGCCATGGAGAGGGCCCGGCACCGCCTGAGGCAGTTCGATATCGGGGACAGGTTCTCCGGCCTGCCGCTGCCCAGAGCCGCCGTGCTGCTGCCGCTGATGGTGCGAGCGGGGCGGCTGCACCTGCTGCTCACCGTCCGCTCGCTGCAGGTACCGGGGGCTCCGGGGACCATCGGGGCGCGATCCCGGCAGCTGCGCCACCCAGTGCCCCCTGTTCCCGACCTTGTGCCCAAGGGCACGGCCGGGTGTTTTTACACTGATGTGATTCTGGTGTTTGCGTGCCAGGAACACGCCGGGATCCCGGAAACCCGTGACGGGAAATTAACATTTGCACAGCCGGCAATGGTTGCTTACTTAAATAAGGAAACTGACCACGGAGCGCAGCTTTGTTAAATGAGGTTTTTCAGTCTGCGGTTAATATTACTCTTCTCTCCCTTTACTATACAAAAGACAACAACCCAAGGGTGACAGAACTCTTTCTCCAGCATTTTGTTTTCTTCTACAACTCTTGTTTTCCGTCCTTGTGTCACATCAACTGCCTGTGCTCAGGAATTACTTTTTTCTGTTGCTGGGTCTTACTTAAAAAACAATCACAGTTACATAGCTGTTAAATGTAAATGTGTTTGTTACTGATCCTTGATGCACAAGCCTACTACTGGAATGTATTTAAAGCT